ACCATGAACTTCCTCGCCTCGCCGGAACTCGTCACCGCGCTCGCCTACTCCGGCAGCACGACCTTCAACCCCATGACCGACGCCCTGACCGCACCGGACGGCTCAGAATTCAAGTTCCAGCCCCCCAGCGGCTTCGACCTCCCCAGCGCCGGTTTCGAAGAAGGTAACCCCAACTTCCTCCCCACAGCCGCCGTCCCAGACGCAAGCAGCGAAGTCATCGTCTCACCGACCTCCGACCGTCTCGCCCTCCTCGAGCCCTTCGCTCCCTTCCCCAAGGGCGATCTTTCAGGTCTCCAGGTCCTGTACAAGGTCAAGGGCCAGTGCACGACCGATACTATCTCGGCCGCAGGCCCCTGGTTGAAGTACAAGGGTCACCTGCCCAACATCTCCGCGAACACTTTGATCGGCGCCGTCAACGCTGCCACTGGCGAAACCAACGTCGCTTACGATGAAGCCGGCAAGCAGTACGGAATCCCCGAGCTAGCAGAGGCATGGAAGGAGCGCGGAATCTCATGGCTCGTTGTTGCGGAGGATAACTACGGCGAGGGCTCTGCGCGCGAGCACGCTGCGCTGCAGCCCCGCTACCTCGGCGGCCGGGTTATTGTTTCCAAGAGCTTTGCCCGTATCCACGAGACCAACCTCAAGAAGCAGGGTGTTGTCCCTCTGACATTTGCCAACCGTGAGGACTACGATCGTATTGATGCTTGTGATAAGGTTGATACAGTTGGTCTTTACGATGTGCTTGAGTCTGGCGGCCAGGGTGAAATCCAGCTGCGTGTTACTAAGCAGAAGACTGGGGAGGTGTTTACTATTCCTGTTCAGCACACTTTCAGCAAGGACCAGTGTGCATTCATCCTTGCTGGTAGTGCTTTGAACTTGTTGGCCAAGAAGGCTCACGCCTGAAGAGGGGAGCAGGCGGTGGTGGATTTCAGACTGTTCTGACACCATAAAAATAGGTTGGGTTTGATCTGGAGTTGATGATTTGGATTGCATTATATCAGTCCCTCACCTTATATATGGTGAATTTTGGTTTTAGATTTGTTTTGCCGACTAGATGATATCCAATGTGATCTGTATTCTACTGTTTCTTGATTCACTGGAGTGTAGGTGGTGTAAGATGAAGTTGGTATACTAAATATATACTAGGCTGAGAGAGCCGGGTCATTTGAATGAGTGCAATCCATACATTGTATGTGTCATGGTATATAGTTTTGAAGCTGTGAGATCAAAACGAGACAGAATTCATGATAGAAAAAGAAAAAAAAAAAAAAGCAGATGGGCATGAATGAGCATGGGAATATCATAAAAAAAGCATCATGATGCCTGCCTGGTTCTTTCATAAGTAATGAGATGGGCAGAACAATGACCATCTCGAAGGGGAGGTCGACAGACCAAGAGAATGAGAATGAGAATCGAACACGGCATAAACACCAACGTCTAGAAAGACCAAAAGAAAAGAAAAACAGAAAACACCAAGACAATTATATGTCCTGATTGCCGAGCTTCGGAAATCCTCAGACATTCCCGAGAGCCTATGTCTGAACGCCAACAAGCCTTTCTATACAGGCAGAATTGAAAACAAAACCGGCTTTATGCAGATGGAATGCATCATGCAATATCCTTTTTGAAACCTGAAACGGGAGGAGAAAGAAAAGAGAAAAAGAAGAGAAAAAGAAAGAAAAAAAGAGGTAGGGAACAAAGCGAAACATACCAGTGTCATCCAGTCCACTTTTGATCAGAGTACCCAGGGTCCCCAGGATTGACCCCCAACATCTGACCAGAGTTATTGACACCGTACATGCTCCCTTGGTTACTAGCATACCCACCACCCATCCCTGAATCATCCTCGTCAAAGCCAAACTCCCCACCAGAGCTAGCATCAAAACTACTCCGCCCACCAATCTCACCCGGATCATCGCCCACAGCAGAAATCTGGTCCCACTGCAGATTCTGCAGAGCCGGGTATTGCGCCAGCAGCGCAGCAGGAAGAACGAAGTTACCCGTCGATTGCCCGTCCATACCAGGCATGTTCGGCATAACGAGCGGCTGGGGGATTGGCTGAAGATGGCTAGATGGCGATTGTTGTTGTTGCTGCTGCTGCTCTAGCAAGACGCGGTCACGCTCTTGTGACTCCTCATCAAGAAGAGGCTTAATGCATACCCGCCCCGCCTCGGAGCGGAAGTGGCGGCCCAGAGCGTCTGCACGGGCGAAGCGGCGGCCGCAGCCCCATTGTCCGCTTCGCGAGAGCTCACCGCGGCAGACGAATTTCTTTTCGCCGGAATGGAGGCCTTCGTGGCGTTTGCGGTCGTGCTGTCGTGCAAATGCTTTACCGCACACTGTGCACACGAATGGTCGTTCGTCGGTGTGGGTGCGGAGATGGGATCGCAGATTGTATGCGCGGGTAAACCGTTTCGGGCATAGGTTGCACTGGAAGGTGGCTGGGTGTTTCTGGATTCGTTTGGGATCCCCGGGTGCTGCCCCGGGTCTTTGTGGATCGGCGAGATCTAATATGTAATTCCGGTTCTCGATTGATGAGGTGGAGAGGCGTCGGTTTGATCGTGAGGGCGAGGGATCTCGCGAGCCGGGGTTACTGCGCGAGTGAGAGCCAATCGATCCAATAGGCGACAAGGACCGTGCGGCTGCAGGCGCATGGGGCTCCAGACAGGTCGCTGCTGAAGCTGCAGGAGAACGTGGGCGGGAAGCAGGGTGATAAGGATCAGATTTGCTACGAACACGAGATCCTAAGTTCTGGTTAGTATCGTATCAACCAGACCGGTTGTAAATCGGCACTTACGCATAGCAGGAGGACTCAATGAGTCAAAATCTGCCGTTGACTTGGATGGATCGAGGTTTGGATTTCGCAATGGCGGGGCAAACTCAACATTGATCGATGGAGGAGCCATTTGTGAAGCTTGACCAATATCGCCGGGGATATTGTTCAATTGGCCCATGTTCATCATCTCCTCCTGGGGCATTCCGTACATATCTGTCGGCGCCGAGGGGAACTGAGAGAGATACGAATTATTCGGTACCATCTCGCCTCCCTGCTGTGGCATTAACCGCGGAGAGATATACGGGCTGTGGAGGGGACTGACCCCCTGCTGATGCTGCTCTGACAATGTGAATGATTCCATGCCCAAGCCATTGTCATAAAGACTTGGATCACTTTGGGGAGCCAAAGAAGGCGACGCATTGCTCTCAATGCCATCGAATTCGTGCTGAGACAAGTAGGGGGAGTGGTTCGCTGATGATACCTCGGACACCTCAGACGGTGCACGTCGATGGCCCTGGAAGGAAACGTTATTCATAACCGACTGCCAGTCTGGACCTGACTGGGCGGTCAAATACGCCGCAGTAGCCGGGTCAAGCGAAGTGTGTCGTGAATGCCGAGGGGTATAGTATGTACCCGGTGTGGATCCTGGAGGGGACATAGGACCAGGCGAGGAATGCTGCTGATCTTGCGATGACGGATGCGAAGATGCTGAAGGGTTGGAGATGGGGCTGACCAGATCGGCGGGGTTGATCGCTTGGCTGATCGACTGGCGCTGGTGCATTTGCGGGTCTAGTAACAACGAAGAATCGTACTCGGGGGTGGAAACGCTGTTAGGGCTGTGATTCTGGTAGAGAGAAAAGTCTAATTCAGGGTGATTGGAGTTGAGCATATTGGAGAAGTTTTCGTCGCCCTGCATCGGTCTGAGTCCCGTCGAAGAATGCTCGAGCTGATTGACCAGGCTCGTCTCGAAGGACTGCGATATCGGAATGTTGTTGGTATTGATGGTTGGAGCATAGCTCTGGTCCGTCGGCGATAATGTCTGTGTCGAGGGCGCACCAGTAAGGTAGCTTGGGTATCCATATTCAGCACCACCGATGCTGCCATCGGGATTGTGGAACGAGGGGTTTGTCGAATAAGCAGTCATGGAGGGGTCAACTCCTAATCCACCGGAGTTGGGGTCGTGATAGTGTTGGCCATGCGGCGAAGGGCTCACGCTCCGCTTGATATCCCCCGGGGAATAGGCCGTGCTGTGGTTCTGGTCATGCGAGGCCATATTTGCGAATGCGCGCGGGTGAGGGCTCTGGAACGAGCGCCAAGCCGGGGGCTGTGATCAGGGACGAGGGACGTAGTAGGGATCGGATATAGCGCAGAGAGTCGGCGACGCGGGCAGATTAGACGAGTAAATCTGTTAGGGTCGTGGACGCCTGGTGATGTAGGGAGAATGGTGTCTGATGATGTGGTGGGATGTCATTCGCAAGGGTCCAGGATCGGGTCCGGTACGAAACTGAACTTCTGAACCGGTTGTCAGCGGTCGCCAGACTGCCTCATCATCTCCGAGAGCAATTATACCTTGACTTTGACCAAAGGTCCGCAATGAGAGAGAGAGTAAGTGGGGAGAGAGTTGAAGGGTAGGCGGTTTCACGTGCGCAAGGCGGTCTAGGTCAAACACGTCTATACGACGTGTTGGGGGCTTATTATTTTAATATATATTCTCATCTAATATTCCCATATAATATTCCCATATAATATTCCCGCTGTGGGTGCCCTAAGCGCAAATAGAGAAAGAGTTTCCACCTTTGCAAGTTCCTTCGAACCCCAAATGGGTCTCCCCACATTGGCATTATCAGTGTCCACCTTGATAACAGATAGGCGAACAACTATTTTTATACGGAGTATACATCTCATACATTCCAAAAAAAGAGCGCTGCCTGTTGAATATACAGGCCGTGAAACAGCTTCATTCTCCAACTCCCAAAGGTGGAGTTGAACGCTAAAGAGGACTTGGCTTAGCTTTTGCACAGCCACCCAGCTGAGGCCCATGGGAGCTAGTCCTATTTGGGTACCGATATAAGCTACTGGATAAGGCACACTTCAACAGTCTGCCTTGTCTATACTTCGTATTTCTACTTTCTTGATTGCTTGCTGCCTAACTTCATATACCCGAGAGCCAATCAGATGACCGATCTAAGCCCCGTACACTTCATCAGAGATATTGATATACATCCTCTCACAGACCACCCAACGTTTCCAGACTGGCCCTAGCCTGATCATTCGACCAAGCAAAAAGCAAGTTATCATCGCAACTACTTCCGAGTCCGGCATTATCAACCCAAGCAGGTTCCCAGTAATAAACACCCAACCCACCCACATCCTCCACAGCCTTAGCAAGTCTCTGAAGGAAAGTCTGCTGTCCAGCAACCGAAAACGGAATATCCTTCAGATCCGACGGGAACGCATACTCAGGATTGGGACAAGCAAACGGCCAGTTCGTCTCGACAACCAGCGTCTCCTTGCCGTACGTAGAGTGCAGGTTCGCAAGACTCGTCTTCAGCGCGGCGATCGTCGCACCCGCGTTGTAGAAGGGGTAGAAAGAGACGCCGATGTAGTCGAAGTCCGTGGAGAGGAGTGGAGACCCGGATGCCAGGACTTTATTGTAGAAGTACGACTGAGCAGACCAGTCCCAGCCGTTGTCGAGGTGGATCAGGATCTTGGGAGTGGAAGCTAGCTTGGAGTCTTTCACACCCCATGCGGCGGAGTGTAGGACCCGTGCAATGTTGTAGTAGCTGCTTGTTCCGCCTAGTGGCCAGAGTAGGCCGTTGCGGATTTCGTTGCCGATGGAGACGATGTCTACATCGAGGTTCCTGGATGCAAACGTGTTGCATACGTTCAGTGTGTAGTCGTACACTTGTCCGGCCAGGACTTCGATGTCTGTTGTGGACCAGCCCGATGGTGTGGTCTGAGAAGGTAAGTTAGTCATTAGATCAAACAGTCTCGTCGGAATATATTATTTGCTTACCTGTGTTTTCGGATCCGCCCATGTATCACTGTAATGCAAGTCGAGATACGTGCCCATGCCCTGCGCCTGTACCCTCTTCGCGAGCTCAACATTATAGTCCAGATCGTACGATCCACCACTGGGATTCACCCAGATACGCTGGCGAACAGAGTTGACACCGCTGGCCGAGAGGATGGCTTCCAGCTTTTCCGTTGTGCCAGCGGTATTCTTGTAAGAGATGCCTGCATCTTCCTCAACCAGAAGGGAAGAGATATCCGCGCCGTTGTAAGTTAATGTGGCAGCTGTTGAGGCGAATAGCTGTCCGGCAGCTAGAAGAAGGTAGAGCAGCATGGTGAGCCACTTGTTAGAGCTGAATGTTGTAGATACTCGCTTCTTATGCTATCTACTTTCCTGCGTACCTGGCATCTTTCGAGTGTATAGTTTCAGGTTTCTCCGAAAATTCCCCCCATTGCGTCGTGCATAAGCTTGAAGGAGAATTATTCTCCCTATCTACCCGTCTCTAGAAGTATAAAATTGCCCGGACAAATGCCTTATTTGGCTTAGTGCTCGTGAAACAGTAAGCTGAAACAGGGGAAGACTAAAGTGAGATTTACGCATACTTGTTGGCTTGGGTGGAGTATATCGCACCCCGCAGACTCAAATGCTGCGGTAATAGCAGTCTGTGACCCTCTGGTATTATCATTGGTGGAAGTACACGACCAAACTCGGAGTATTCTAAACGAAGTGCCTTGCTAAGATTGCAAAGTGGGAACAAGAGGCATATGAGCCCACGCGAACTCCACTGGATGAAACGATGATATCTGTGACGATGTCAGATGCATTTCATACAAGGATCCTTCTACGATGTATGGGAAACAGGTTCATCTCAAAGGGAGGGATAAATTCAAAAGTCCCCAAACCCCAAATATTTCATTTCTTCATGATATGCTAGACCGTCTCGCCTTCCAGCATCATATATCAGTCATGTCGCAATTCCTCAGACAATCTCTGCAGAGGATCAAGTAATGCAAAATATTGCCTCAAAACCCAACCGCCCGGTTTTGACAAAAGTCAACATTACATACAGTTAAAAAAAAAAGCGATCTGGCCCCGTACCCATGCATAAGACCAAGAAAGAAAAAAGAAAAGAAAATAGAAAAGAAGAAAAAGAAAAAGAAACCCTTGAAATGCGCTGCGGGATCCTCTGCCCTTCATATTCATAGTGACAGACACTGAGCTCAACAAGAAAGAACAGAAAGATACGCAGACGCGGTCGGAGGGCATCGGGGAATTTTTCGCAAGGAGGCACCGATGAATGCTTATGCGAATTCGTGTATATGTACAGACCAAGAATGTATGGAACAATTTCTAGGAACACTTTCCAGATACCAGCCTGCCGGGAACCGGAGTGGAAAGAGAATCAAAACGAAATTCGGCGATATACAACAGCTTCGCTAGGTATAGTTAGGAAGTGTCGAGTGTTGAAGAGGTGGTGTGATAGAGGCGGTCAGATGTAAAGAGGTGGACTGGACTGGACTGATCGGGACCGGCCACATTTCAGTTCGATGGCTACGACGGAATATCCGATGCAGCCTTGGGAGGCGGCTTGCGCTTTCCGATCACAAGGCCTTCATCTTCCGACTCATCCTCGTCCTCGTCATCGCAGTAGTACCTCGACTCATCCTCTTCAGACGGTCGAGGCGAGGTGGGACGAAGGGGCTTGACTGTCTCTCCCGTTCGGAGCATGGAGGGTACTTCGTCCAGGTCATTGCCCTTGGCCGAGTAACCATCACCGGAAAGAGATGATGCGTTTGAGACTACCGACGGAATGCTGGGATGGGAGGCACTCTGAGACATGCCGCTGGTGAAGTCGTCGGCAGAAGAGGAAGAGATAGTGACCGAGGTTGAGGCGGCCAGCCCATTGTTGGTGTTCTCGGCGGGACATCCTTGGTTGGTAGGCGGATTGATGGGCGGCAGGAGGAGCGATTCAGTAGAGTACATCGCGTAATCAACTCTCAAAGTACCACCTTCATTCGCCTCGGTGTCGCTCCGTCTGCGGCGCAGGAGTGCATCTCTGGTGAGGTTCAATGATTCTGCTGGTGATGTATCCCCGAGTTGCGAAGATCGTTTGCGCCGGCTTACACGACTAGGGGCCAATTGCTCGACCGTGGGGTGTTCCTCTTCGTGCCACAGGCCGGGAGTGCGCACTTGACCATGGGCAGATGCATTGCTGACAGCGAGGCTAGGCTCAGCGGAGCGACGTTCTCCATCCACATGCAGAGATCCTGACTCGCCAGACGGAGAACTGCGCCGACTGCGACTGCCTCGTGATGCCCGTCGAGTAGCTCCACTGAAAAGACTACCAAAGTTGGTCTGTCCTAGGGCTTCGATGATAGACGATGGCCGAACAGTCAATGGGATATCAAAACTGGATGACTTGATCGTCTTTGCGGATTCTGCTGTAGACATAGAGGACTTTGCGCGACGAGGAGGACCAGGTCGGGGTGTCACGGTAGGAGGTGGACTGGCAAGCTTGGTCGCAGCAGCAACTGCGCTTGGTTGTGCGGCATCGAAATAATATTGCCAATCTTCTTCATCCACCGGACTCGCAGTAACACTCTGGGCGAGCGGGTGTCCTTGACCGCCAAATTTGAGCGGGCGAAAGAATTCTTCGTCCCCTCGCAAACTGGACCGGCGACTGTCGCGGGAGATTTTCCCGAATGTGCTGTTGCTTGAAGCAGAGGACAAAGTCTCGGTAGATGGTGTTGTGCTTGATGTACGCTTGCGAGGTTCCTTGTCCTTCGATCGACCGCTGCTGAACCATTTTGCGACATTAGACCGAACGCGTTGAATGAAGGGGACTTTGCTGACAGCGCTTGTAACCTCTTCATTCGAAACCTCAATTCGCTTGCCCTTGCTTTGGTACCCAGGATCGGTCTCCTCAATCCAGACTCGAGGATTGGGAAGACCATGAAGTGTCCAAGGATGGTGTTTGATCTCTTTCAAGGTGATTCTCTTGATCGGGTCTTTTGTCAGGAGGCGCCTGAGTAAATCGTATAGCTCATCGTCGATATCCTCATAGACAAGCTCATCATCATTCCTCAGATTCCACTGGTTGGAGTCGGACGCCTCATCCATTACGGGCACAAGGCGCTTCCGTGGAATGAAGACTTCCTTCTTAACAATAGTGTGGAACATGCTGTACTCATCATCCGACACAAATGGTAAGCGACCAAAAATCATTCCGTACAATGTGACACCGAGCGACCAAACATCGACCGCACCAGTGATCTTGGGGATCGACCCAATGGTTTCCACAAAGTCATCGCCGGTATAACATAATTCGGGAGCATAGAAAGCTGGAGTGCCAACAGTCTTGGACAATTCCCGGGCATCGTCCAACTCTGCCGCATCGGTCTCGCCCACCTGCTCTTCTTCCTCGTCCCGCATTGGGCGTCCCAGGTAGGAAACACCGAAATCAGAGATCTTAACCCGATGATTACTGGTGACGAGGAGATTAGCCGGCTTGATATCCCGGTGGATGATACCTTGGTAGTGGAGGTATTCTAAGCCAAGTACCGAATCCCGGAATGCGCTGCGGGTTTCACCGATAGTCAAACAAGGAACGTAGGCCATGTCATCGCCCTCTGCCGACCACTCGGGTTCGGAGGGGGCATAGCCGAAGCTACTAGAGGCTGTGCTAAAACGCCGTTCGAAGGGGTAATCTGAATAGGCGCCGTACATGCTGCCCTCGACGGCATTAAGAGACGGGTCCTGGGCGGAGGATGGGCTTGAGTCATCTGTTACTGCAACAGAACGGCTAGATGATCTCCTGATGGGAAGACCGGACCCATCATCTTCCTCATCTGAAGATTCCGCACCGTGCTCCAAACTCCAAGCGGGAATTGGCCCTTTCTGGGCATCGGCAGCCTGTGCTTCAATCCGCTCGCGAGCCCTTTCCCGTTGTTCCCGCAGATGCTGAGCAGTTCGAATGAATTGGTGGCTCTCTTCTAGAAATGCGGGAGTGTCTGGAATTCCATTCTTCTCCCGCTCAAGGCGTAGCTTGTCGACGTGGACAATTTCTCGTAGACCCTTCTTGCGCCAGACAATCTCGCCATTTTCAACATACTCCAGCACAATGTATACCTTTTGTCGATTCGGATCGTCGATGACTTCGAGAAGGCTGACCACGTTGGGATGCCGTGCCTTCTTCAGAATAGCCACCTCCTTCTTCACTTTGTCTTCTGGATTGCCCAACTTGCCTAACCGACGGCGAGTGGAGTACCGCTGGACAATCTTGATGGCAACTTTCTGCTTGGTCGTAATATGCTGGCCCAATTTCACTTTGCCATGTTCACCACGTCCAAGCTCTTCGAGGATCTCATACTGGTTGATGGTTTTGTTTCCCGTGACCATGTCGCGATCAACTTCGGCGGTGTATGTTTCTTTGGGTGGTTGAAGATGTGACGGATGGAGAAGCGAGCTTCTCATCGAAATGTCATCGTCAGACAGGGACGACGCCCCCACGCGAGGGTGTCTCATGGAGAAAAGCCCCGGGCTCGACAGCGGAGTGTTGCCCGCGGTACGAACACCACGGGCATAGGAGTGTCTAGGTAGCGGATCTGGTTCTGTGAGGTGGGGTGGTTGCCAGGTGGGATGCACCTGAGACTGAAGGGAGGCATAGGATTGATCGGGGTAAACTGGTAATTGATGATCTGAGTGTCGCGAGGCTCGCCGAGTGCTTCTTCCAATGCTTCCACTTTCCGATCGGACATCGACCACGATACCTTCGTTGAGGGCCTGTAGGGAACTCGATGACGATCGATTCGAGGGGGCTCGGGCACCGTAAAGGCCGGGGAAGGCCTGGCGGAAAGTTGCGGTGGCTTCTGACACATCGGTGATGATGGACGGTTGTTCCGCGGACGATTTGGATGTGGGGCGATACTCGGGTTGGTCGTTCGATGCAGATGGTGATTGTGATGACTCCTCGGACTGGCTCTGACCGCGCTTGTGGTTTTTTGAGACATGGCCATTGCGAGCCAGCTGATCCGGATCCTCCAGACCAGCTTGCGAGGACAGGATTTCCGTCATATTCCCTTCTTCCTTTTTTGGTGATATTATTTCAAAGGGAGGCCAAGGCAGCGGTGCCGAAAGTGCATAGCATCCTAGTTGCACATCCTCGAATTTGACGGTTTGTATCTTTTTGGTTTCCCTCGTAATAATTGGTTCAAGGTGAGCTGATAAATAGCTCTGTTGGCACGCACGAACACGTCGGCATTACTTTCGTGAAATCAATAGGGATGGGGGCGACAACTATGCAACGGAAACCGTGTACCGGACAGCGGGTTGTCGCCTTATGGGGGAAGGACACGAGGTAGACCTGCTACTGCACGAGGACTTGGGCGATCCCACATCCACACGTGGGGATTTTTGAGTCAAAAAAAAGGAGTGCCGTTGCAAACAGATGCTATAAATAATTCGGGGTTTGGCTCATTCGGTTGGCCTCTCGGGAAGCAGGGGGAGAGGGAGACCGGAATCGAGATGAAATTCGAAATTAACGTGAAAAGGAAAGTCAAAACAGCTCAAGAGCCGTGATAATTAAAAAGAAGAAAAAGACGTGTAGAGTGAAACAAGAGGGGAGTGTTGAAGAGTCGAAGGGGGGAGGTTGGGTGGGTAATAGGGTAGAGCGATGATCGGGACGCCAAGAACCAAAATAATTTACCAAACGCAAGTCGATCGTCAAGCCCAAATCCCAAGTTAAAAATAATAAAAAAAGGACTATAAAGTATTAATTTACTTTGGAAATTGAAATATATCCAATTTTGACAGGTTTTACCATACCTGGGCTGTCAACTGAAATGGGGTTTGATAGGTTTAATATCGAAGATCTTTTACATGGTATATTCTTTACGCCTACGTATAGACAATATGATTATATCTATTTGGATTATATGTGAATTTGCCACTGTTGGGTCTTTACGTCGATGACTTGATATAGCCCATATAGAAAGAATTGACGGTTCCCATGGATGATAGATTTCCCGACAGATTGCAAGTATAGAGAGGCCAAAAGGCCAGAATCTAGAAAACGCCAAGTCAGAAATGGCCCATGGTTGCCCAACGTGTGATGATTCTTATTTTCCTTTTTCCATTTCCCTTGGACTTTTCCTCGGCACCGAATAATACACATTCTCCTGAAGTTGGCTATATACCATTTTGCCTCCAATCGTATTCCGCTATTAAACTCAAGTGCCCAAACTGCTGGGCTCCAATACCGGAAACTGTATCTTCCTACATAAGCGATAGGCGACGGGTAATATATATTTTTTTAAAATCCTTTTTCCCTTTTTTTCCCACATCCTTAAGGCAAGAGGCAAATCCCTGTCCATTGTGTATTTTTTGGCTTGGATCCTCCCGAGGTATGCTCCGGTAACTTCTAGGGTCATATTTATGTATAAATAGATAAATAGATATATATGAATATAACTCCACTGTATATAATACCTAAAACCCCCTCGGGAGGCGTCCTGCATGAAGCTGTTTAGAGAACCTTGGTGAGAAAATCCGTGCGTAAATGTGTCTATGCGCTATAATCGACGTCATATAGGTCTGGCCCCCTAATTAGCCTACCCTTTATAGGTTTCAAAAAGAATACATAGACAGTCTTGGCATTTTATGCCCGGGTTAATAGTATATTTGGCACATTCTGGGAAATATGATAATCTGCCGATGTTGTCTGCACTAAGACAATCTTAACTATCAACCTGAGAATCATGCCCAGAGACATTATTCTGTCAATCCCCGCAACCTACGGTGCGGGGGATCACTGGAAAAGGGGCTAAACAGACTAGACAAGGGGTCGCGGGGTTCAATGAGCATACTCCGTACTTGGTAGTCCACCTACTGCAGGCACTAATCGGACTAGTTTACTAGCCTACTAGGAGGGACACAATGTATCCGTCTCACTTCACGTAGGTGAGTGGATTCAAGACGCCCTCGCTGTCGCATATGGAGTGGGGAGGTGGCTGATGAATGGTAATATGCCGCATTCTAAGCAATGATAGTCATCTTATAGCGTAGGAAGTACAGTATAGAGTGCGCGAGAATACCAATCACTCCTGCAATAGTTGTACAGTTTGCCCCCCCGCAGTGGAAGTTCGGCCTGAGTATCCGAGACAGCACGCTCTGCAGCCATTTCCGGCGCCGATGCATGCGATTCCAAAGCAAGCTAATCCTATACAAGACCTAGAGCATGGACAATTATTCGGGCTACACTTTGACCGTTTCAGTAAAACAATATTAATCTATATATGCTGCCTTTATTTCTCTCTATTCCACATCCAGGTTCAAATTATCTTAGTTCTCGCATGTACCTACAGTCACCGAGCGCCTCCTGCATCAGAAAAGCGATCAAAGCACACGAAGACGAGCATGGGCTCTGCTCACTAGGCGCAATCCTCTTCCCAATCCCCCATTCCACGTCCAAATCGGGATCTGCACTGATACTAGTCGAGGGAAATTGCTCGTGTTGATCCTGCTGTGTGACGAAAGAGGCAAGAGGCCTTTTCGCTCGTCCGTCTGATTGAGTCCCGGTAAACCGGGTATGTGGCACGCCTTGGCCCCTTATTACTCTGTGTTAACGTCGAGCTGGGTTTGAAATTTGGCTGTGCTGAATTGCGGACATTAGACACCCGTGGACTAGGCGCTATTGTGTATGTTTGTGCGCAGGCACGGTGCTATGTGATTTGATTTAAATTATTCTTCTCACTTGATATCTACTGGGCTTAGTTTTTGTATGCATCAAGAGCATTTAGGATTTAAAATAATAAACTGGAATAGTTCTATACCTCCGAATCCCTAATTTCCACATGTGATTGTATACTCCGTAGTCCAGTGGCGATTCTCTTGTCTTGGAACCTCGTTTATAGTCTGTATGAAGGCAAAGTACACGATCACAAAGTATCGGATATTGTGTAAAGATCGACTGGCCAAATTCAACTACATTTTCCACTGTTTGCTTTTTCCTTCGCCTCTCGCCTCTTATTTCTCGTACTCCTAAGACTCGGCACCCCCGGAAGCCGATGACTGACGATGGTAGCCGCAGGGCCTCCATGCACAGGTCCCGTTCTAGGTGCCTTCAATAAGCGGGATAATTATTTGCTTACATTGCCAGCTGCGTGAGGACTATAAAACATAGTCCTAGAGTGGACCTCCTATAGCCAGACATATATCTACTACATGCCCACACTTGACCTATGAAATTCTAGTTCTCTTCATAAAATAACTAGACAAACAGTCCATTTTTACATGTGTGAACTGACTACACAAAGAAGCCAAAATGTTGGCACGGTTGTCCTGCCAACGTTAGGAATAAGCCGAGGGATCCATGGTGCCAGGGTGTCGCATTGAAGAGCCTTTGCTCTTGACATGAAAACACTATGTTGTACATATGTACGGAGTAGAGAAAGAGAACATTTAGAGGCGCATTGGTCAATTCATATTAGTTCATGTTTATGTATGTCATGTCAGTTTAGGTCAAAGTGCTGAGACAAATCTGATACCCGCTCTCTCAAGGCCCACATGGAGAATCTTGATAACGTCAAAAAGTATTCCAAGATTTAAAGCCAAGCTAAGTTAATCTAACAAATCAAGGAAATCAGGTTTTATGCTACTGCCTGATGGATATGGCTTGAAATGTACTATGCGTTGCATAGGGAATCACATTTAGTGTACCTTGAAAACATGAAAACACGCAATCACCCACCGTTGCCGGGCAACGAGGTTGATCCAACATTGATCTGGCTTTTGGCAATATATTAAGTTCCCTCTTTCTTTGTTTAGCGCGAGCAAATAAGGTCGGCTTAATGTAGGTGACCCTTAGTGATTGGTCTAGTAATATGGAGGCGGCGAGACTCAGGTTCTAATCGTCACTTGTTTACTGAAGCTCTACAATGACACCCTTCAATATTTCTTTACCTGTTTACCTTTCCATCACTGACGTTGAAACCTGTCAAATTTAATATCTTGCACTGTCCGAAAATAGATCTTCGCGTGGCATGCCATGCTCGCCGATCCTGGAATGTATCCCTGCTTCTGATGTCTCAGATCGCAACCATGAAGCACAAGGCGAAGGCACTCTTACTTGCGCTTCTTGCGCTCGTGGATTCCTCTAGTGCAATCCAATACACCCCGTCATCGATCTTCCTTTCCCCGCAACACAATGGCTCTCTCGCATATATCCTCCGTCCCAGCTCCACCGGTGAAACCGAGTTCGTCTCCCTCAACTTGTCCAGCAGTATCGATGTCGAGAATGTATCATATCAAACGCTGCTGAAGAGCTCACCTTTCCATGATTCTGATGTGAACTCGAGCTTCATCCCCGCTATCAATGACCAAGGGCTCATCACAGTCTACTCGGGCAACTGCCACAAGGCATCCGATAACCCGGTACTCTGGCAGTTCCACCCAAACAGCAAAAGTTTAGTCGGCAATGGCACTTGGGATGGACTGCCAGTTATCACCAGCGACGCAAACACCGCACCGAACTATCTGGCGGCGGGGTTCACGTATTCGTCATCCCGCCGCGAAAATGAGAGCTCGATGTACGCTTTTGGTGGGATGTGTCCATTCGCGAACAGCACGGAAGAAACATGGATCTCGGCAGCCAACTACTCCCGGTCGACGGTCGTGGTAGGGCCGAGTCCCTATTACAACACCAAATACACCGCTGCCACGACTGGCAAGCGTGCACCGCCAATCGCTGAAGCTGGAATGGCCGTTGTACCGCTTCAACCTACATATTCTGCCGGTTCTACGGGGAAACAACAGGACTTTTTGTTTATTGGTGGCCATACTAGGCAGGCGTTCCTTAACATGTCGCAACTTGCCATTTTCTCGCTACCGCAGCAAAGCTGGAGCTTTGTTTCTGCAATTTCAGATTCAACCCCCAAGACTGAGCTGACTGTTCGGGATACAGTTTCAGTTGAGCCTCGCTCCGGTCACACTGCGGTTCTATCGGAAGATGGAAATAAAGTATTTGTGTTTGGAGGTTGGGTGGGCGATGTCACTGTCCCCGCTAAACCGCAGTTTGCAGTTCTGGATCTCGCAGAAGGGTTTGGCGGAACCAGCGAATGGATCTGGACAGAACCCTCTTTCGAAGGACTAGGGATCGCCGAAGGTGCTGGAATCTTCGGACATGGAGCGGCAATGCTCCCTGGAGGCGTGATGATGATTTCTGGTGGCTACAATATCCCGAAGTCATCCTCGAAACGGGCCTCAGCAACTGCACAGTCCAACTCGCGGGTCTATCTCTACAATGTGACTTCGAGAAATTGGGTCACTTCTTACAGCAATCCTGCAGCCAGTCCCTCGAATACTTCCTCCGGTTCCAGGAAGCTTTCATCATCCCAAAAGGCCGGCTTAGGAGTTGGACTGGGCATTGGCTGCCCTGCTGCTATGGCCATCGTTTTGTGTGGATGGAACTATCACCGCAAGCGCCGCGTAAAGAGTAAGCGAGACTCGCAGCTACGAGAACTTGCCTTAGGAGCAGAACGATCTCACTTTTGGGATCGAGACTGTCCAACCCAAGCAAGCAGCATTCGGAGTTCTGGAATGAGCGAAAGAAGAGATGGCCCCATGTATCCTTGGTTGGCAAATCGCACCCAGACAACACAGCCCGACTGGAAAGATCAAGGCGAAGTCACGGCGGAGAGGACTGGGCTTCTGATGGACCCTACTAGTCCATCTAAGAATAACCGACCACCTGTGGTACCTTCAGTGAACAATAAGCCATTCTCATATCGAAATAGTGAATACCGGCGTAGCGATGCCACTGGTGATATCCATCCTATCGATGAACGCGAGGAAGACGAAGCGATGTTCCGAGAACATCTCATGGCTACAATCCCACCTGGAACAAGACCCACGGTCAAGATGGCGGAGTCTGAAGACCCCTTCTCAGATACCCCTTATGCAACTCCCCGGAGCACCGTCTTTGGAGTTGGCCTGGGTCCTTTCTACAGCCGGCGAAAGGACATTGGATCTATGGATGTCGAGTCCCCGACAAAAAGCGAACGAACGGCCACCAATTTGTCAGACAACTCAGCCTTCTCTTTTGCGTCTTCCCAGCCTATAAGCAAGGTCAACCAAGCACGAGCCATCCTTGTCGATCGACCTACGAGCTGGGGCAGTGGGCGCCAGTCACTGGAATACCTCGCCGTGGGCTCAACACAAAGCGACCCAGACGGCGTAGCCCCCTCGGAGAAGTCTGTCTCAGCGGATTCCTACTCTACAGCCCAGACAAACCTCTCCCACCGCCAGTCAGAGAACGAATCCCTTCTCTTCGACGCCCTCGATTCCACCACGGCCCCCTCCTCTCCCTCAAAACTACCCCGAGAATCCAAACCAAGAGCCTCCGACTGGGTAATGAACACCATGCGCCGAGCTCTAACAATGAGCCGCCGCAGCCCAGACAGCCAGCTGTACTCCAGTGCTAGTACCACCAGCACAGCGCACCGCGCCTCCGGCATTGACCGCAGTAGCACGATACTCGGATCCGGCCAACGATCTTCAGCAGTACCCAGCACGCCGCGCCGAGCAGTTAGCGCTTCGGCAGAGCTATTCCGCCGCAAGCAGGGTGCCAAAGATTGGAACGCGCACAAAAGAGTCTCAGACGATGTCTTCAATACTGCCCGGTCTACGCGTGACGATCTTTTCGTCGGTGCGCCGGGATACCTAGGTAACGAAACTGGCTTTGGCGATGACGAGGAAGATGTCCATGATTGGGACCTTGAGGGTGCTGCTGAGGGCCTACGAGTCCAGACTACTTTTACCGTTCCTCGAGAGAAACTCCGTGTTGTTAATGCTACTGCTGGCGATATTGATAACATGTCTGAGCGCTCTGTCAGTTGGGGTACTGGGAACCGGAGTGTTAGTACCTAGATCTGAGATCTGGGACCTTTTGCTCTTCTGATTGTCTTGCTTTATTTTCTTCTTTTACCTTCTTGTACTTTTGCATTTGCTCCTTTACTTTTACTTTTTTTATGTCCAGTGAGTCTGGTTTGGTGTCTGCATCTATGAGAGGCACCTAGAAGTGTGCTGTGTTGCATTTCATTGCGTCGTTTGTACACAACTTCGGTGTGTGTTTTCATTTGCTATTTTCTGTTTTCTCGTTTGGAGTCTTTTCCTTTTTGTCGCACTGTTTTTTTATGGGTGGCTGCTGTTTCTGTCGTTTTGATATCCACAGCTATGTTTTGATGCCGTTCCGAGATGAGATGACTGACCTGATGAATCGATGGCTCCCTTTTTTATGAATCTGCACTACAGAGTGGCACTTGTTAGATTAGGTAGCGAGTTCAAAATTGATGTCTTGCTTTGAGATTTATTGAGCCTTTGGAAGTAACTGTAACAAGAATACTTGGACGCTTACGCGGCCTTGGGTCTTTTCAATGGTCTTTCTAGTGGTCTTTCTGGTTCTTCTATTTAGATGCCTTGAAGATATTTTCTCCCTTCTTGGTTTTATATTAGACGGCGGAGAGAAAGCAGCAAGGCATGATGTGTGAAAACGACTTTTCCATATATAAGCTAAGATCCTTACGCATTTCGTACACTATAGAAGACGAGGATGTAGGTTCACCCGGAATTGGCAAAATGCATGAATATGGCATCTATAAAACTCTGTAGCTCCATGATACCTCAAAGACACATTTAGACACAGACATGATCCTTCTTAATGACGCTTGCGTATAACATTTTTAATATAACTTGTCAGATCCCTCCCGTCTACGACGAAGGCGCGGTAGTAGGCTTAGTAGGGATAGTCTGAGGCAGCCGAGGAAGCAAGTTCTTGGCACCCTCACGGGCATACTGAGCCATGAGAGCGTCCATGATAACCAGCGACGACATGGCCTCAACGATAGGAACAGCACGGGGGGTAACACAAGGATCATGACGACCCTTAGCCTCCAAAACACCTTCCTCACCGTCGTAAGTAGTAGTGGTCTGCGCCTGGCCGATAGTAGCAGCGGGCTTGAACGCGACGCGGAAGTAGATGGTTGCACCGTTGGAGATACCACCCTGGATACCGCCAGAGTTGTTAGTCTTGGTAATGAGGCGGGGGCCGCCGGCCTCGCCGTTCTGGTTGACAATGAAGGGATCGTTGTGGATTGAGCCAGGGACCTCGCAGCCGCCGAAACCGGAGCCGATCTCGAAGCCCTTGGTTGCGGGAATGCTGAGCATCGCGTGGCCGAGTTTGGCTTCAAGCTTGTCGAAGCAGGGCTCACCAAGTCCAACGGGCACATTACGGATCACGCATGTTACGCTTCCACCGATGCTGTCGTGGTTGTCGCGGTACTTCTCGATGACTTTGGTCATGCGCTCAGCTGCGGCCGTTTCAGGGCAGCGGATGGGCGCGAAGGAGTCGACGGTTTCGCGGGTGATCGAATCGATCAGGCTAAGGAACTCTGGGTTCGTGGAGGCAGAGGGGTGTTCGGGGGTTGGGGGGAAGAGGTGCTCGTTGCCGACGGAGGAGACGAAGGCGACAATTTCAATGTTATGCGCCTCGCGGAGGAATTTCTCGGCGATAGCGCCGGCGGCGACACGGCCTGTGAGAATTGGGTTAGCGAGAGTAGATGATGATGGTTACACATAGCGTACCAATAGTCTCACGAGCGCTGCTGCGACCACCGCCGCTGCTGGCCTTGACGCCGTACTTCTCAAGGTAGGTGAAGTCGGCATGGCTAGGGCGGGGGTACAGGTCCATTGTGCTGCCGCCGTAGTCCTTGGGACGCTGGTCCTCATTGCGGACAACCATGGCAATTGGGGTGCCCAGAGTGACGCCGAACTCGGTGCCTGACTGGATCTCGACTCGGTCCTTCTCATCCCGCGGGGTAGTGAGGGCGCTCTGGCCGGGACGGCGGCGGGTCATCTGGGGCTGGATGTCGGTCTCGGTGAGTTGCATGCCCGGGGGACATCCGTCAACGATGCAGCCGACGGAGCGGCAGTGAGACTCGCCATAGCTGATCGTGGGTGTTAGCAGCGATGCCAGTGGTGGGGAGTGGGCAACTTACGTGGTGACACGGAAATATTGACCCCACGTCGACATGATGGGAGTTGAAAGATGGTCGAAATGTATCAAAGAAATTTGTGAGTCTAATTGCCCGAGATCAATACAAGGAGTAAAATAGGAAGAGAAAATAAAGGCGTTGGTTGATCGCAAGTAGGAAAAAACTATAAAGAAATTCGACTCATCGCTGGATTCCTATCTGGGACTAGCGCAACCGACTATCGGCCTGATAACTTTCGTGATACGATCAATAAATTCGCCCACCCTTGCTCCAATGCTCGCCCTTCGAGGATGCTCCTCGTCTTCGGCACGTTGGACTAATCCACTGAAATCTGGCTGGATTCGCCATAATTCATCATATCCCGCTCACCAGTTCGCCGAGCTCGCCAGCCGTCCCTCCTCTTTACACCAGATCTACCAATCGCTATCAACAGATCCCTACGTGAACCTTTCGATCGAGCACTTCCTACTAGAAAATGCCCCCGCAGAGTCCAGCATTTTATTTCTTTACGCCAATCGACCATGTGTAGTTATTGGTCGCAACCAGAACCCATGGCTTGAGACAGATCTTCGCGCACTTCACAATGACCGCAGGAACGGTACGACTGGAGAAGACGAAGCCGCAGTATTCGTCCGTCGGCGATCAGGTGGTGGGGCTGTCTTCCATGATGAAGGAAACCTGAATTACAGCGTTATATGCCCGCGTATCTCATTTACACGTGACAAGCATGCCGAAATGATGGTGCGCGCACTTCACCAGGTCGGAGCTACCAACACTAGTGTCAATGAGCGGCACGATATTGTCATGGCGCGAGCAGAGGAAATGCAAAACGATCCCAACGAGCCTCTGACACGCAAAGTCTCTGGCTCTGCGTTTAAACTCACTCGACACCGAGCCCTCCATCACGGCACTTGCTTGCTCGATTCCCCGAATATTCATGATCTTGGTCGGTACCTGCGATCATCCGCCCGCCCGTATATACAGGCCAAGGGCGTTGAGAGCGTTCGCTCTCCAGTCGGGAATGTCTCGGCTGCGCTAGCCGACTCGTTCTTTTCCATGCAGAGCGTGGTTCAGAGTGTGATTGGGCAGTTTGCTCGGCTCTACCAGGTACATCCCGATGCTGTTCTCAGAGCCCAGCGGGCTCATGCCAATGAGCCTGAAGTCTTTGCTGGAGATTCTTGGGTGGCTGGTACAGTGGGAGAAGTGCAGGGTGAGCAGGTACCTGCCATTGGGAAAGGAATTGCCGAGTTGCGCTCGTTGGAATGGAAGTACACCCAAACACCACGGTTCACTTTCTCAACGCACCCCATCGAGGAAGACCCTCGTGAACGGCCGCCATTGCCCTCTACGCTTCCCTCAAGTACTCGTGCATTCCTCCGTCTACAGCATGGTGCTATCGTCGAAAGCCACATCTCTATCTCATCTGATGAATCCACCGCATCTGACCAAGCCGGTCGCGTCCATTCAGCATTGAACGGACAGAAGCTGCACGAGATTACCTTGAGCCGGTGGTCGGAGATCCTAAAGCAGGGTCTTGGTGAGACCGAGGGAGTCGATGATGTTCTTGTGAAAGAGCTGGCTCGATTCATGGGTGGCCACTTGGGGGGTTAATCGTCCAATCCCATTGATGCCATGCGATTCGTGGCGTGTATAGATATTGAATGCTCTTGGGCCCTATGTACAATAATACCATGATATCCTATATGACACGAACTACACCATTCCCTGCGTTGCCTGTATCCTTCATTGGTGGACGATAATTTTCCCACTTATCAGATGTTCACAGCCTATTTCGGATAGACTAGTCTCTCGTCACTGCTGATCTCCCCACGTTACGTCGACCGGCTAAATCCAAACCCCACGCCATCCCTATTATTCCCCATTATTCCCCCAGAACTACGCACGGATCCAACTGGCTGAATCGGCATTCTCAGCGAGTCCCGATTCGCACCAAAATGGCTCTAGGTAATACTATATGTCAGCATAGCTACGCGGACCCCGATATGAATTGCCTATTAAGCAACTAATACTCGACGATTAACCGATGCCAATCTTTATAAAACAGACAGCCACCCTATAGTCACCCTACCCACAACCAAAAGTTATCATAACAGCGCAAACTCATCATAGCTTCCAGGCCTACAGACTTGCAATGTCTATCCACGCTAACGGCCGAACTCCCTCACAAGCCTTCAGCAAATCCCCCTTCCGCACCAGATCCGACTTCCAGGAAGCATGCCGCGCCATTCTCGACCCGCTAGTACCCCTCTTTACAGCAGGCGGCACACGCGTCAAAGTAGGCACGTCAACAACACGATTTGACGAAGGCGGTGCCCAGATCGAGGGATATGCCCGCCCGCTATGGGGCCTGGCCTCGCTGCTGGGCGGTGGATATGAATACGCCGGGGCTGAGCGCTGGCGCCAAGGAATCATCAATGGGACAGATCCCGAACACCCGGAGTTCTGGGGCCATATCGAGGATATGGATCAGCGCATGGTGGAGATGTGCCCGATTGGGTTTGCGCTTGCTGTTGCGCCTCACGTCTTTTGGTATCCATTGACGGAGAAGCAGAAGGGGAATGTTGGTAGTTGGTTGGCGAGTATTAATGCGCGCGAGATGCCGAATACGAATTGGTATGTTACGGCTTGATCTGTCCAGGATGGTCTTTTGTTGGCGTGTATTGAATGGGTCGGCTAATTATGGTTGGAATGTTTGTAGGCTGTGGTTCCGCGTTTTTGCGAACCTGGGCCTCAGGAAGAATGGCGCTGAATACTCCTTGTCTCGTATTGAGGCTGATATGGATCATTTGGATACCTTCCATGTTGGCGGGGGATGGAGCAATGATGGACCTAAGAGTCATCATCAGATGGATTACTACTCGGGCTCATTCGCTATTCAGTTCTTGCAGCTTCTTTATTCGAAGCTGGCGGGTGACTTTGATCCCGATCGTGCTGAGCGCTATCGTCAACGGGCACGGGAGTATGCTAAGGATTTTGTGCACTACTTCGATCCCAACGGTATGTCTCGGGCGGGTCTTTCTGAGATGATGCCCTCTCTTCTTTTAGGATGTGACTTGGTCCTAACTAAAACTACCAATAGGCAGTGCCATCCCATTCGGACGATCTATGACCTATCGATTTGCCATGGTTGGATTCTGGGGTGCATTAGGCTTCGCAGATGTCGAACTACCGGAGCCACTGACATGGGGCGTGGTGAAGGGAATTATACTTCGCCATTTCCGGTGGTGGTCTACGCAGGATGACATGTTCAACAACGATGGCACCTTGAGTTTAGGCTACTCATATGCTAACATGTACCTGACGGAAAATTACAACTCCCCCGGGTCACCGTATTGGTGCTGTCTCTCGTTCACACCCCTAGCACTACCGGAGACACACCCCTTCTGGTCCGCGCAGGAAGAGCCCTACCCAAGTTCCTCTCTGCCTGAAGTGGTGGCGCTAAAATACCCCAAACATATCGCCATCCGCCGTGGTGGACACTCGTTCCTGTTGTCATCTGGCCAAGCATGCCACTATCCCCTCAAAGCGACACAGGCCAAGTATGGCAAGTTTGCATACAGTTCTGCTTTTGGATACTCGGTTCCGACCGGTGGCTACCAACTGGAGCAGCATGCCCCAGACAGCATGCTTGCGTTGTCAGACGACGGCGGGGATATCTGGCAGACTAGACGGCTGGCGCTCGATGCGCGTTTCGAGGAACCCGAGCCCAATGGCCAACCTATTCTTGTATCTGGTTGGAAGCCGTGGCCAGATGTTGATATACAGACCATTCTCATTCCGCCGACGGAGGAGAATGAGAATTGGCACCTGCGCGCTCACCATGTGCGCACCGGTCGCGCTTTGCAGACCTCCGAAGGTGCCTTTGCCATTTATGGATGCCGCAGCGATAACGGTCGCATGTTGGGGTCCATGACTGGGGATGATTCTGAAGGGACGATGCATGACAGCCGGAGTGGACTTGTGGTTTCATCGGCTGGAGCTGTTGGCATTGTCGAGCTCCACTCGGTTATTGAACGGGCTGGTCGGATTGTTTTGGCTGACCCAAATTCTAATATCATTCACGGACGTACGCTTTTGCCGTCGCTTTCGGTGGACTTGGCAGCTGGGCAGGATTGCTGGTTCGTTTCCGCAGTTTGTGCTGTGCCAGACCAACGGGATTGGAGGGCAGCCTGGGAAAAGAAGCCAGTTATTCCAGAGTGGTTAGAGAAGAGAATGGAGAGTACAGACTAGAGTTTCAGAGATATGCCCAATGTTAGGAGGTTTTTACTGCATTGGGATTAGCCCTAAGTTTGAGCTTCCCCGCAGTCCGGGGTAAGATCAGCCCCCGGAAACTTGCAAGGTTCTCCTCTCTCTCCCTCTCTATCGGCTAAAGCTACGTATTCCTTTCAATATCATCGGAAAATCAGCCCATCTCCCGTGTAAATTTACCCCACGCCTCCTATTTGAGTACACGTGAATCAGCCGTGTGTACTCTTGGACCCTTGCACCAATCCCCAAACATCCTAGACATGTGAGCAGTAGTAGGTTCTTACGGCCCGTGTCGCCCTGGCTTCGGATTCGTGGATGTTTTCCTTCGTTTTTGCTCGCCTTGTTCGGTGTCCCTACTTTTTTCCCATAGGCCGCTTGGTAGCCAGCCAAGACACCTGGGCTTGGGATTACACCTCTCATAGGCTTGAGGCCGAAGTATTTTTTCCTTCCTTCATAAATATACCAATAGCCGACGGCATCTCTAGCTTAGCTTCGTTGTGAGCTGGTTTCAGAGAATTACTTTAAAGCTGGCCACTCCCCTCCTTGACTGAAGTTGCTGCGATCATCTTGCTTAACTCTTTTGACTACTACCTAAGATGTCGTGGCTTTTGAAGAAGATCGTTCACAATGAGGCGATGAAAAATGATCCAAAGGAGATCTATGGGTGGAGGGTTTTTATGCTTGCTTGTTCTGTTAGTTTCCCCTTGGCAATGGCAATGACAATAATGCGATAATTACATGACTAATGCTTCCCAGGCCTGTTTCGGTGGAATGCTTTTCGGCATGGACTCCGGTATTATTGGCGGAGTTCTAACTATGCCAGGATTCAAGAAGTGAGTTTCTTTTCGCTCTGTTCCCTGGCGTCTAGCTATTCTGACCAGTGTCATTCATGTAGGACATACGGCCTGGAGAACATCTCCAAAGTTGCGGCAGCAAATCTATCGGCCAATATTGTCTCCACCCTCCAAGCAGGATGCTTCTTTGGAGCTTTGGTTGCCTCCCCGATAGCTGAGAAATGGGGTAGACGGATGGCCCTAATCGGCGCAGCGGTGGTGGCTGTGCTAGGAATTTTCATGCAAACTGCAGCCAGTGGCCACATCGAGGTCATGTATATCGGACGGTATGATATACACTTCTATATCCAGTCACCCATCATTTCAAGCTAACGCCCACATCTCTAGACTGATCACTGGCTTCGGAGTCGGCGCCGCATCCATGATCAACCCCCTTTATGTCGCCGAGAACGCGCCGCGCGCAATCCGTGGTGGTCTAACAGGTCTATACCAGCTTTTCATTACAATGGGTATCATGCTCGCATTCTGGATCAACTACGGCTCGCTGCTCAATATCGAGGGCCCCGCAATGTACCTCGTTCCACTGGCAATGCAAGGCCTCCCCGCAGTGCTCCTGTTCTTCGGCATGTTGATGTGCAACGAGTCACCCCGCTGGTTGGCCAAACAAGATCGATGGGAAGAAGCCCGCGCGACTCTCTCCACAGTGCGCAATTTGCCCTCTGACCACCCGTACGTGGAAGAGGAGTTCGCGGCCATTGCCGCCCAATTGGAACAGGAGCGCGCACTTGTCGCTGGCTCCGGCTTCTGGGATTTGATGAAAGAGATGTTCCTTATTCCGGGTAATCGCAAGCGCACGATTATCTCTATCGTCTTGATGATTTGCCAGCAGATGACTGGAACTAATGCGATTAACTACTATGCGCCCCAAATCTGTATGCTGCTCCCACTCCCGATACACCATTGAGGAATCATTCAGCTAACAAGTCACAGTCCAAAACGTGAGCGCCCACTTCTGTCTTTAAGCTCGCAACCCGAAATTACAATCAGATGCTAACTACACCTCATCTCTAGCTCGGCGTGACCGGCAACGCAACCAATCTCTTCGCAACCGGCGTCTACGGAATCGTCAAGATGGTCAGCTGCGGTGTGTTCCTAATCTTCGTGGCGGACTCGCTAGGCCGACGCCGCTCCCTCCTATGGACCTCAATCGCGCAGGGCTTGGCAATGATGTACATCGGACTGTATGTGCGCATCGCACCGCCAGTTGAGGGCGCACCTGTCATCCCAGCCGGGTATTTCGCGCTGGTATGCATTTTCCTGTTTGCGGCATTCTTCCAATTCGGATGGGGACCCGTCTGCTGGATTTACGTCTCCGAAATCCCGACTGCCAGGCTCCGTTCACTGAATGTTTCTTTTGGAGCTGCTACACAGTGGCTGTTTAACTTTGTTGTTGCCAGGGCTGTGCCGAATATGTTGGCTACAGTGGGTGCTAATGGTTATGGGTGAGTTTGGCTGGCTGGTGCTTTCCAAGGTTGTATTGTGGGTTTGCTGACTTTGGGCTTTCCAGAACCTATCTTATCTTCTCGTGCTTCTGTTTCTCGATGTGTGTCTTTGTGTGGTTCTTTATCCCGGAGACAAAGGGTAAGTCGAGTCCTCTAACAATATGGTGCCTTTTTGCTGACTGTGGTGTGCGTATAGGTTTGTCCCTCGAGAAGATGGATGAGCTCTTTGGCGTTACGCAGCTGGTTGAGCATAAGAATTCAGACGCGGAGCGAGCCTCTGTTGGTGATCGAGGGGACAAGGCATCCCAGGTGCATGTTGAGAGGGTGAATGAGTAGGATTTTACTAGTTTAGGGCTATGTGGAATGTCATTGTTGAAAGCGACCAAATTTAAATCAATATTTTAGTTTTAAAGAGTATTCACATATGTCATCGTAATTTCATGGGGATCATCAAAGTACCTGGGTAGTCCAACCCCCTCGAAAGATATGTACAGCGGTCCCAACATCTCGGGGTACCGCCAAACCTGTCAATATATAACAAAGAAATATTCGCCTGCGCTATGAACCCACGACATTCGCTTGAATCAAACCGGAAGACTGAAAGCAAAAGAAAAAGGAAAGAAACCGACTGGATCAGTCTATAAACGCCGCGGCGAGGCCCATCCTGTCTAAAAGTCACGATCGGGCTCAATTTGCCAATGAACTGACAGAGAGCCACTTGATCAACAACAGATAGGGGACATAGAATGGCCAGTGACGTACCAAAAAACAAAACAAAATGAGAATTTGAAAAGAACGGAAAAATTAATGCGAAAGCAAACACACAAAATCAACGGACGTAGTTGGGTGGACGCCGACCAAGCAGTCCATGCTGGGTCTGGCTACGAGTCATGCGGCGGGGAGTAGGATCATCATCCAAACTCAAGCCGCCGATGCCTGATCCAAGACCAGTCCGCCGGGGTGAGTAAAAGGGGTTGGAACCCAGACCGGCGTTATTCCCATACCGAATGTTGTGGTTAGTGAAATTTGTAGCGGCAGTTGTAGTTGTGGCTATAGTCTCGCTGTCTGAGTCTCGCTCATAATCAGACACGGGGTCGATTTGCTTTAGAGATTCCATGGTGAAACTATGTGGGTTTCTGTTTTGGTTGAAACCGTTCTGATTTTGGCTGAAAACGTTCTGAGTGCCAGTGGGGAACGACTGGGCAGTTCGAGACGAGGTAAGCCCATACTGTGGCACGGAAGGCAATGCCGAAGAGAAACTAGAGGCCGCTTCGGTATCGCCAAACGAAAGTGGAGGAGCGGATGGTTGTGACTCAAATGATCGGTGCACAGGGGGACTGCTGACTCGAGGTTCAGGTGTAGACTTGGATGAAGATTGACTTGTGGGCCAGTCAAGAGCACCCGATTGGCTCTGGTGCGGGGATTGTGGCTGCGACTGTGGTGATACAGATCCTGAGTGCTGGCGGCTTTCTAGCCTGGCCTTAGTGTAGAAGGAGAATACGTTCATAGTTTCCTGTGCCGCCATGAAAACCAGGAGCAGTTTGCCGTAGCGATCGAAGTAGTCCCGATTAAGGGAAACCGTGGGTAAATGTGCCCCCATGTGAACAGCAACGCCAAGTTCGGTGATAGAAATCAGAATCTCCATACCATTCCATTCCACAAGAGGCCGTTTTACCATGGTGATCAAAGCAAACCCCGCAACAAGACTTGCCGCACCCAGGGCAGCGATCTCCACGTAATTTCCTGGGATCAAGACCTGGTGATTCTGAGAGACAGTCCATGCACTGATGAAGCTAACTAGCAGACCTAGGCGCAAACACCCATAAAAGAGGTGGCTTTGCGTCTCATCGAGACGTGTAGAGCCCTGGTTCTGTGTCTGCTGAGGCCAGCCAGGTCCCTGGGCAGAATCAGACTGGAAATTAAAGGCACGGTCAAACAGTGTTTCCAGCCCAGTAGATGTATCGTGATCGCGAGGAGGAAAGAATTTTGGGTCCTTGAACACTGGTTCAGAACCGGCATGCCTTTGCTGCCATTGCCCTTGCGGTTGCGTAGGACTGCGGTGGAACGGATTAGGCTGAATCACTTGTTCGATAGGCTTTGTCGAAGTCTGAGTGCGAAGCTTCCACGCAGGAGGAATTGGGGCTGCTGGAATCTGCCCCTGAAATGGATGAGGACCGTCCAGCACGGACGGCTGATCTCGCCGTGTCACAGTCGGTCGGAGGTTATGGGAGATAGAAGGGGACCAGTCCATGCCATCATTATCCGTAAGATTGGAGGTTAATGCAAGCGACTGTTCAATGGGTGATCGTGATTGAGGCTGAGCCAATTTGTCAATCGGAAAGCGTTGTTGTAATCCACCATTGTTCGCCTTCGGTGTTCCGCCAGATCTTGTGATGCGAGTCGACACCGGTGACTCAGGAAGTGCAGAAGAAGAAGCCTTAGCAGATTCGAATTGAGTTTCCCAGCTATTATCAGACCAATTGACGAGTGGACGACTAGAGTAGCTGACAACATATCGAGAGAACAAAACCGACTATCATAGTTAGGGCATGGAAAATTCGAGGGGGAAAACAATACTTACCAGAATAGTGAAAACGATCATCAGAGCATGGAAGGCCGGAGCCAATTTGGGTTCTAACCCACTGGCAGACGGATCCTTGATCACTGCCCAGAAAACACATCGTACCACCATGATGATGAGTTGGGCTTCGTAGTACTCTGCAAGACCACGGAATTTACCGGGCATTCCGTCTATCTTCATGCGTAGCTTTGGGTTCCACCAGAGCGAAAGTGCACCTGCGATCAATGCCAGACCGGCAGTTGGTGCTAGATCAGGCGAACATTCGCTGGGAATGCGCTTGAAACGGATAGACTGGTCGACACACGAGATCACAGAGTTTGGTGTTATTGGGGGTCGTTCGGTGTCGGATAAATAATCGGGATTTTGCGAGACCTGGGCGAGGGTGGCTACACTAATCAAGTTCCACGCTAGCTGGCCAGCAATACTAGCCCAATATGCAAGTGCACCCACAAAGAGAAGCAAGCTTCTCCAGCTCCGGTTCCTCGCCTGTCGTGATTCTCGGTTTGCTCGACTTTGATCCATCATGCGCCTGAGGTGATCTGATTTCGCTTCGTAGCCAGCTTTTCTGATGCGAGATTTCACGATAGGTTCGCACGACTCGCAAACCTGGGGGTATCGGTCCTCCAGACTTCTGCGGAACTGCTCATACCCGCGTTCGTATTCGCTATCGGTAGGATCGTCTGAGGGAGGAAAGTAGGAAGCCAATGAACTTGTAAATAAATGCTGATTCCGAGCACATTTGGCGCAAAATGACTGGGATCCATCGAAGTCAGTCGACTCGAAGCGCGAGTCTGATGCGCCAGGCGCGTAGACTTCGGCGTTGGTGACCACAGCTGGTGGGTCTGTGATTTCTCCTTTCTTTATGGGGAAAAACAGTTAATATAATTCGAGAGATTCCAGGGAAGAATGAACTTACCTCGTCGAAGAAGTTATCAGCCTCACAATGTTCACAGTGGAAATTGCGAACAGGTCCGCGATGAGAGCGAGCGGACCGCTTCCCACAATAAAAGCAGGTCAAACGCTTAGAAAATAGAGAAGCCATGACATAGTAGCATGGAAAAAAAACCAAGTGAAAGCGTTGGTGTAAACAAGGGAGATGGTTCCGGATGCCAAAGGGAAAATAAAACTAGTCGAGCTTGCACGTGCGGGGGACGTGTATGGAGTACCGCGACTCCAATTTTATCGATCTGCACTTATAAACTACTTTACTACATTACAACCATTGTTATTGACATTCTTTTTCATTCCATTCATTCTATTCGTTCTCTTTCTATTCTTCTTCACTCTTTATGATAATGATACACTAAATCCTTGGGCTGTCTCACAAAACTCTTGAGACCGTACAACAGCGGTCCAAGATGCCCTATTCTCTTGCTTCTTTATCCTTCCGGGACCTGTTACTTTGGTGTTTTGTCCTGGCAATTATACTTGGGGCCAGCATTCTTCTTGTGGGCATCCTTTACTCATACAATTGAATCAATCTAACCTGCCTATCTCTCCTAGGTTCTATTCATCTCCCTCACGATCTCCCAGAATACCATTCCCGCAAAATGTCGCCCAAGGGGATCTCCTACCCACCTATTGGTAGTTCTTGGAAGTGGCGGCCATACAGCTGAGATGCTGTACATGCTAGAGCGCATGAAATTCGACCCCCAGATCTACACATATCGGACATACCTCGTGAGCTCCGGAGATAACTTCAGCGCAGACAAAGCCAAGGATTTTGAGGCCCAACATGTACAAAATTCTCAAGGCCATAACCATAGCAACAATTACACCATTGTCACAGTGCCACGTGCCCGACGGGTTCATCAATCATACCTCACCGCGCCGTTCTCTACGCTTCAATGCTTCTGGGCTTGTCTCAATGTTCTTCGTGGGGTTCACCCGGACCAAAAGCTCCCAAAGAAATACAGCTCGCCTTACCCTGATTTGATCCTCACAAATGGTCCCGCTACAGCGGTCTGCGTTGTCGCAGGCGCAAAACTCATCCGTTTCTTTCAATGCTTGGCCAGATGCATTACCCTGGGCCTGGGTCTGCGCACAACCTCCGCGTTTGCATCGGCACCAAAGCTGCGTGCTATTTACATCGAATCATGGGCCCGGGTGAGCTCGCTTAGTACCTCTGGTGTCTTGCTGTTGCCTCTGGTCGACCGTTTTCTTGTTCAATGGCCTGCCCAGGCCGGCCGACGGGCCTGGTGGGGGATGAAGAAAACCCAATATGCAGGATGGCTTGTGATATGAGCGCCGTGCATCTACACTGGCTTTATCTAATTGTTGCAGATATCACAAGAAATGACGTTCTCGCCGTGTAGGTACCTAGGTAAGATATGAATCTATTGACAAGCAACGTGGAATCTAGTTCCACACTGGTTCCCTCCCCGTACACATTCAATGTAGGGATTTAGATCATGTTCTGCAATGTAAAAGTATATACTGCTGGCCTTTTATGCGCCCGTGAGCTTGGTGGTAGTGGGTTCTGTCGATCAGCCACACAGAACCCAGCATAGCCAACATCAACACGGCCAACAGCATCATCCATAGGCCGGGCATCGAGTCGATCAAGCTTTCCCTTTCCGTTCCAAGCTTGGAAGGTTTCCAAGGTAAGGTGAGTGCCCAGTGTTATATGAGCATCAAACTCGCTTTCACCTCCAGGGCTGCATACCTGATCGTTACATAATGTACGTACACCATAATAGAGGTACCAGAAATCGCTTTTTTTAACGTTAAACCTATAGTTATCTACCTTAACTTTACTGCGCCGTTTATAAAAAGGAAACGTTTTCATCAATATTACAGCAGTTAAAACCCGATATTAAAATGTAATGGTTAGCAAAAGTTAACAGTGGTTCATCCATGCGTAGTTGAATTAACGTTGTATAAATACCCACTGTGGTACTACGGCAATCTAGGTCTAAGGATCTTCCCCTATGTATGATTCTGTAAGATACCATATCTTTCCACATACGTCTCCAATAATTTTTGACACCATTTGACATCATGTCTTTGTCCAAAGGAAACGAGGAGATGAAAAGAGAAGTTTACCTAGCTGTACCTGCGAATATTTTTGTTACCAAATGAAATTCATAGCTATAGATTTGTGACTGGAATGAGAGAGATTGAAAATGACATGCCAGGCAAGCTGAGTGAGCCATCGTCTGGGGCATGGGAAGCGTATTGACTTCATCACTGGCGGTCTGTTGTCAATTCCCTGATGTGTTTGACGCGAGCGACTACAGTGTGCAATGCAAAGAATATAACTGGCTCCGGTGCAGAAATCTGAAGTCTGTTGATAGTCGTCCTCTAGACGCTCCACTTTCGATAGCTGTGCCACAGTCCTGGCTCGTTCTACTTGAAGATCTAACACTGTCCGCTGAACACTTATAAAGAAGTAAAGTATGTGGCTAGCAAAATAGATTTGGGGGGAGAGGGTGATGAACGAGCGTTTTCACAAGTTGAATCGCGTCCAAAATCAACAGCCACCATCCCCCCAATCCATTTTGCCACCGGTGGGAGAATGGAAGTAGGCCCTTATATCGCAGAAATATCAAGGCAGCGTAGGATTGTAGGCTTGTAACCTAGGTTTGTAACGAGGGGCATTGATTGATGGACAAATATTGGGAAGGTGAAATTATCATTTTCCGCAATCACCAAAAAAAGGCGGGAGGGTCAGACCTCCTTTTTCCTACACTACCTTACTCCTGTAGGATTGAGTCAGTCAGTACTGCCTGCTCTGCCAGATGCCCTGTCTTTAGCTCTCAACGTGAATGAAAGATGGGAACGGCACCTTCCGTTCTACGGAGATCATATGCTAAATCCGAATTGGCCAATCACAGCATAGAACGGCACCGTCGATCCCCACTCTATCTATATACAACATAGACAGTACAAGTACAAGGCCAAGGGGAAAAAAAGTATTTATACCCTTGATATGCTTTTTTGTTTCCTTCTCTTCCATCCTCTTTATTCCTCTCAAGCCTGCAAAATGCCTTTCTACAACACTTACCCAGGCTTTCTTTATCGCCAGTTCCTGGTCTGCCCTTCCAAGGCCCCGTCTACCACCTCCCTTCGCGGCAAGGCAGGTATCGTGACGGGCTCCAATACTGGACTGGGCTATCAAGCTTCAGCCCAGCTGCTTAATCTTGGACTATCCCATCTGATTTTGGCCGTCCGTAGCATCCCTAAGGGCGAAGTTGCCCGGAAATCCCTTCTCGCTTCACTCCCTGCTTCGGCTAAGCCCCCCGTAGTCGAGATCTGGCAGTTAGACCTAGGCAGCTACGCTAGCATCACCGCATTTGTTGATTGCCTCAAGCGCTCCGACATCCAGATCGACTTTGCTCTTCTAAACGCTGGTGTTGCCAACTTCAACTTCACCATCAACCAACCCACCTCTCATGAGTCAAGTATTCAAATCAATTGGCTGAGCACCGCTCTCCTGACTCTGCTGTTGCTGCCCGAGCTTGATCGTCAAGCTGCCAATAATCTCAATCGTGCTCGCCCGGTGATTTCTATTGTCGGCAGTGAAACAGCCGCCTGGGCCAAGTTTGCCGAAGCCCAGGTGTCTACCAAGCAGGGAATCCCACTCATCGACGTATTGGATGACAAGAGCCACTTCGACATGGGCGATCGATACTATACCTCTAAGCTGCTCTATCAGCTCTTCTTCCTCGAGTTGTTCCGCAATCGATCTAGTGCTAAGAACTCCACGGGCGCCATTCTTAACTTGGTTAACCCCGGTTTCTGCTATGGCTCTGAGTTGCATCGTACGGCTGAGGGCGCTTTCGGTACAGTCCTTAGTGGCATGAAGAGAGTCACCGGTCGCTCTGTCTCTATGGGTGCCCGTACGCTGGTTCATTCATCGGTATTAGCCGGTGAACCTTCTAATGGCAAGTACCTGAGTGACAACAAGCCGGCTCCATTTGCCGGATATGGAGACAGTGATTCTGGTAGAATCACGCAGGTCCAGATCTGGAAGGAGACATTGTCCGAGTTGGGCCCGGTGGTGAACATTGACAAGCTGTTGTCAGAGATTTGATTGATTCTCGCGATGATGTTTCCTCTTTTCCTTTTTGGTTTCTTGTTTCGTGCTTTTTAGTCATATTTGAAGCGTGTGCTGATGTTGGTCACATTCCTCATGGTTAGGTATGCCTGGGCCTATACTACGTATATTAGGAAGGATGAGGAAGATTATAGCGGATAATGAATTTGAGATCTACCAGTATATAATCAAGTTAAAAATTTAACGCATTTTATTAAGTTCACAATTCTACCTCAACTTAACAAATCCTCTGAAACACATTATATACTTCCAAGGTTAACCGGCATGTGATATACCTGCTAACTAAGTACTCAAAAAAGCGTCTGGTGGAAGAAACGCCAACGAGCGAAAAGCCTCGACCGTTATAAATAGCCTCGCTAGCAAAAACACTACTCCAATCGACCATGCGGCTCCGTAGGGCAGAGATGCCATTTTTGATAGCCTATGTTCTTTAGCATCGGACGTCTCGGACGCCTCTTTAGCCAACTTGATGACTTTTTCCGCGGCTAGATCCAAAGCCCATATTAGTGGGAAAGCACCAGCTGTTATAACTGTACTGATGTGCCAACATAGCTTCTCTGCCTCCGTAGGAAATCTAAATTCCCATGCAATGCAATGGGTGGCCCCAAATACAATCAATGCAACCGTCGATCCTAGGTACATCGTGAATAATGGATGTTGCCTCTGTGAATCTAGGTGAATGGTATTGTTGGGGATCCATATGTTGGTACGCTTGAGCCCAACAGTTGACGGGCCACTTTTTGCAATGTTGAACAAGTTTGACGGAGATGGGCGTTTAGAGGCTTTGATAGTATATGACGTCTGAACGTCCTTTGGTTTATCAATCAGCAGGATGTATGTAATTACCGAGCAGATTGCAAAGGACACAGTGAATATCTCTAGTTGACTCGAGGGGCGATCTTGAGCCAGGCGTATAATGAGCTGGATGAGCATCCATGATATATTGACTAATGCCAGAATGGTGAGAATTAAATCGCCCTTGTTTCGATCACCCAGAGAAGCCTGAGATAGTGAAGGCAGTCTTTCGATAATTCCAAGCTCACGTGCAAGGAGAAGCTGGTTTGCATCCAGCACCCAGAGATTCCCACAAAGGTAATGGATGTTATCAAACAGATCAAACCAGTTCCCTCGGCCATGATGCATCTTTTCTTCATCCATTTCATCGGATGAATGTTCTTGATAGGCCATGGTATTTGCCTCTATTGCGGTTCGAGTATTGTCGAAGTCGAGTTCCCAGTTGACCGCTCCTATTTTTTTGGAGATCTTTTGCACTGATTCTAGGGTTTTTTGGAAATCACCACTGAGTGTCGCACGCACGTATAGCGGATGAAACTCTGACTTGCTCAATGACTTATCGAACCGAATAGAGAATCCACCCATATTCGCGTAGTAAATATGGGAGCGGCTCCATGGGACCCCATCTTCCCTCTGGTACTTTTCAAACCGGCCTTCGAGCAGAGCCACTGAGCGTCGATCGCTCCAAGCCTTTCCTAGTGCCCACTCTGGTGAAGCAAGGTTGGCAAGCATCCATTTGAATTTACTCCAGAACAGGAAGAGCCTTTGTCCACATTCTTGGCGTTTACCAAATGGATTTGACTCCATTGGCACATTGAGATGAAGGACAGACCAAGTGCAGAGGATAAGTATACTGATGCAAGACCAGAGAATGTCTAGAGTCCCGCGAGTGTTTGGGGAAAACACAAAAGCAACTGTCTCTAAAGGAAGAGTACAGTTGCTCTCAAAAGTCTGCATCGTAAAAACAAGCACCCGCTGTTCCACCCGGGCAAGCACTCGCAGACGTTCCGGGTGCGTGTCCAATTATAGAAGAAATAGACCTCAAGGACTGGTGGCAGCCAGGATGATAAACATGGGAAGGACCAAAAGAGACTGCACAAAGGCATAGTTGTATGAAAGAGAACTACGGAGTACGTCAGCCGCACCCAGCCCCCTTGGTTCATGCATTTTTCTCTTAATTAGGTCTAGATGTATGCAGGCCAAGATACCTATGGCTTGTTCGAGTAACATCTTTTCGATTAGCGCTCAGTTGAAATTGACAGCGCATCTCGCATGAGAGCTGCAGGGTAACATGAATCTAATTTAATCAATTTAATAGTGTTTTGGTTGAGATAAATATCGTTGAATTCAATGGGTTACGGGAGGTGGACTACTCGCATGTGAAATACGGTAAGGTAAATGTAGCGCTCTTGTCGCGTGGACATGGGGGTGTAAGCCTTTCAGCCCACCGATATAGCCACCCATTTGGGTGCTGAGCCATTTATAGAGCAAACTTACGGCAATTAAATTGTAAAGTATGCACTATAATTTGACAGCCCCTGTATAGCCCATAACATTGTATCTGAAACCTGTTAGTTTCGGACTTGGTACACAATCTACCGAAGTGTATTTGGTTAGGCGTTCATAAAACAGAACGGTCTTGAATATCCGGCTTGATTGTGAAATAATCATATAGAAAGCTGAAAGCAACAAACCAAGGTATACGTACAGAGCTCCTGTGTTGACCAAAGTAAACAGTACGTTAGCGAAAGAAAACCACGAAGCAGAAAAGCGACCTAGGTACATAACTGGGAGGATGAAGGTGGGCTACGTTGCGAGCAAATAAACAAAACAGGCTTAGGCACCAGGGAGTTACCCTTGCAATCGAATGTTCTAAAAAAAAAAGTCGGATTAAAGGGCAGCAAAATATAAACGATGATTCGTCAAGAGGTAGTTCTGACAAGCTTGGGTGCTAGGCGAAACACCAGTTTTCCGACGAATTGTGGCTGAGCCCCTTCAATCAACATCATCGCAATTTCCTCTTCTTGGTTCTAGTCCAAAGTTCTTTTTTTTTTCTTTCCGAATTGGTGTTTGTTTTGCACACCCCAGCATCACGATCCTCCGTTCCGATCGATCGGTACCACGTCGAGCCAAAGGGAATGTACTGACAGCTTGGGTATACAAGAGAGATGAAGCCGCCAAGTGTCCATGTGGTCAGAGACTTTCCAAACGATATTTTGCCATGAAGATGTAATTCAAAGAGCCGGCAATGTTTGAAATAAACAAAGGTCTGAGAGGATCAATTCATTCATCATAACTAGCTTTCGTCCTCCGAGTCTTTCATTTCGAAGGATGTCATACGCTTTAGAGGACGTGAGAGCTTCAGCCAAAGTTCGTTATCCGGATCATCATCTTCAATATACAAGTAGCCAGTGTCCGCGCTATCGTTGTAGATTCCGCTGGATTCGTCTTCAATCTTTTGCGCAGTTTCAGTTGACAGCCACATGTATCTCTCCACAACTCCCGGGTCAGCCGGCTGACCGCCATAGATACCAGGAGAGCCCCATTCGTCTCTGGGATGCTGCCCCCAAGGAACAACCATATCAGAGAATTGGATAGAAGAATGAGCGAAAGAATCTCTGGGCTCCAAATCAGGCTGTAAACTTGCTTCCACGGCGGTATCGTAAGGGCCGAACTCTAATATTTCTCTGCTTCCAATGGAACGTTCTCTAACAAATTCTTCTAGATATTTGAGGTAGAACGGGTTTCTGCTCTGTTTAGCAGCCTCGAAAAAGGACTCGCGTGGAGGGGGCTTCAACAACCTGAAAAGCGACTTGTAGTCACAAAGTATGGCGGTGATCGCAATTTGGTGTCTCATGGACGGACACTTGCCAGCCAGCTCACGCAAAGTGTTCTCATGAGGCCTTACCGGCCACCAGATAAGCCAAGGGAGGCAGTCAGAGTCATCGTCAAGGTCAGAGATATCATTGTTCATGATTTTGCGAGTATTTATCGCAGTGCGAATCTCGCGACACTCGCACTCATGGCCTTCGCTGAGCAATTTACCTGGGAGAATGATTCGCCCGGGGTTGGTTTCCAGCTGATAGGCCCACCATCGGGCAAAACTTATACGGTGATAAATCCCACGAAGAATACAATTGTATTCAGTTTCCGCTCTGAGCCTCCGTGGGTGCATCAATCGAGCGTATCTGTCCACATTACCCTCCCATGCAGCCATTTGCGTTGGAAGGCGTTTGTCAAGAACTGGAAGATCAGGCGGAAGAGGCATCCACAAATGCTCAGAGTCTCCTGGTCCGAGTTCTTGGCTACTGAGAAAGACTATGTAAGTATTCGTCTGTGCCAGAAGAGCCCTAAATCTGACTTATTCTCTTTCAGTCATTCATTAAAGCTCAGCCTATCAAGTATCCAAAATCAGGTACGGAGTACGTTGACCCTACCCCGCATCGGACATATCCCTCGGCACAACCTTTTATGTATTTCAATTCTTATATCCCCTTCTCTTCTCCAAATAAATCCTCGATCGCAAAACCACAGCTGAATTCTACCCATCATGCCCTACTCTTTGTCAGGTCGGAATGTTCTGATCACCGGTGGCTCTAGGTGGGAACCTTTAATTGGAGAACTGCTCTGTTCAATAAGCTAATCTCGTCTACCAGAGGCCTAGGTGCTCTTTCGGCTGAGAAATTCGCCTCCGAAGGAAGCAATGTTGCTATCAACTACATGTCCAATAAGGAGGCTGCGGATAAGCTTGCCTCGGACATTGCAAGCAAATATGGTGTAAAGACAGTGGTCATCCAAGGCGTAAGACACTCAAATCCAATCTAAAGTCGATCCACTGACATGATCTCGCATCTGGAAACAGGACGCCGGAGTCAAAGATGACTGTATCAACGCCGTCAAAAGTACGATTGAGAAGCTGGGTGGCTTGGATATTATTATCTCAAATGCGGTGAGTTATACGCCAGTTCCAAGAGAGCTACAAGATACTAAGATATGAGAAGGGATGGACAAAAATTACTAATTTCAGCGATCTCGATGCCATGGACGATGAGGACTGGGATAAGGTACGGAATAATGGAATACCCCTCCGTGATGGAAGTTTTGGTTTGACTGACTATCAAATCAGTGCTGGTCAGTTAATGTCAAGAGCAGCTTCTACCTGTTCAAGGCAGCTTTGCCCACATTCAATGCGAACCCTGAAGGTGGTGTTTTCCTCATCACAGCCTCGATTGCGGTAAGCTACTAAAACAGGCCAAATGGCCTTGAACTGTCCACTACCACGCAGCAGTCAAAATACTGATTGCGGGGTCTTTTCTAGGGCGTCACGGCAAGTGGCAGCAGCTTGCCTTATGCTGTCTCGAAAGCAGCATGTATGTTATCATTCCTATGAACCACGCTAGTTAATTACTGACTTGTATCGCTCAGCTATCCATCTCATGAAGTGCCTTGCTAATAGCCAAGGCGCGAAAGTTCGCGTCAATGCTATTCTTCCTGGTCTGTTGCTCACTGAATGGGTAAGTAGCACATGCTCGACGCTGTCATTGATGAATACTGAGAATATCCCAGGGTCAACGCTTCCCGGCTGAGAAAATAGAGAGCTGGACAAATGCGACAACTCTTAAGCGAGCGGTAAGCAATTCTCCTCTCCCCCAATCTTTGAAATGACCCTGGTATGCTAATGAACACCGCTGCAGCCCGAGGTGGAAGACTGTGCGGACATGTTTGTCACATTGGCCAAGAATGCGTCTATAACCGGCCAGACGGTTCAAATTGGTATGAGTCTCAGCTCCAGCCAGTTGAGTTTAAATTAACAACTTTTTAGATTCTGGCTTCGCGATCTGTTAGAAATGAGGAAAGGGAATTATGCATGGTCAGAACAGAGATTATAGTACACAGAACCCCACCATATTTATACAAGAGAGTTCCGGAAGGGAGTCAGCTCCCGGCCTTCATACTGGAATGCTCGATCCCCGAACATACGAGCTTTGATAGCTGCTCGCAGACCCTCTGCGTCTTGTTCCCCTTCCACTTTCATCCGGTTGATGCGCAGAACTTTTCCATCGGCAGTAAAAACGTATAGCTGCCGTGACTTCTTTGGCTCAACAGGGTGGGGGGCATTTGTAAACGGTAGACCTGGGATGATTGAGAACGAATCACATCCCTTAGGCGGGTCAACCTCCTCGATATCTGTAAGAATGACTCGTTTCTGTTGGAATGAAAGAGGTCCATCTGCAGGACTGCTTGCACAGAGGGCCTTGCTCCAGAGAGGTCCAATCACTCGGTTACGTCTGTTGATATCTGCCAAAGTCCAGTTTGCCCAGTTGATGTGTCGGTCCTCTGGTACGATTTTTGGAGCGTGTTTCAGCTCTCCTGTGTGCTCGGCACCGGCATTTGCAATGGGGGGAACGAATAGTCCCTTCTCAATACTTTCCACGAGCATTTGTGCTCCTTTAGGTGCGACGAAATCCACCAACTCGGGGACAGTGCAGGATTCTGGATTGGGGATGTCGAACCCGGGAGTCGGCGTTTGTAATAATATCGCTCCGTGATCAAAGTGTTTTGAATGCAAGGTCTGGACCGTCACGCCAGTGGTGGTCTGACCGGCGAGCAGAGTATGATGAAGCGGTGCAGGACCACGGAAGCTAATCAATCAGGTCAATGGTCTTGCTATTCGATCCTAAACATGTAACAATCACGTACTTTGGTAGCAATGAGGGGTGTACATTCAAGCCTCCATACTTGGCACTATTCAATATGCGCGGCGGAACAAAAAGTCCGAATGATACGGCAATCACCAAGTTTATGTGACCGTTCGGGGATGTCGGTGGCTAGCACAGTCAGCGAAAATAACAATTGGGTTGAGTTTTGGCATTACCGTCCATCCAGTGAAGGTATCAATTTCATGGATCGGAAGGGAGAGAGCAGATGCGGCTGCTTTGAGCGGAACTGAGAGAAATTGAATTAGAAAACCCAACCATTCAAGGAAGAGTATTAAAGTGAAGCCAACCTTCCCGAATTTGCTTCAGTCCTCTCCCGACCCTCTTTCCAGGTCTACACACGACATCAATAGAGGAAATACGCTCCGGTTGTTTCAAATGATAAGCATGGAGAGCTTTCAAGTGGGCGATACTGAATTCATCAGAGCCGCAAAAGAGAATGCGGAGCGGATCTGAGGTATTGGTAGCATATGACCTGAAGACAAGTCCTCGAAGTACCAACGGCCTCTTGCAGAGACGCAGGCTCCCTGGACCTGGAATAATCCACATGATTCTGGTGGATAATTACCAGAAGTTGACAAGGAGAAAGTTGAAGCTTCCATAGTAGCTTATCGATAAACCACGTGATGTCAACATCCATCCCGGATCCCACTTCAGATGCATCTGTCATTCAACCATTACTGCTGTTACCTGTCTGGTACAACCTGCAGACGCGATTCAACGATGCAATGCCTGGAAGCGATTATGATTCGGTGATTCCAGCCCAACTTTCATACCTCGCCATCTACAACCCGACCCTCGGACCTACCGACGAGACGATAGCGGACCAAATCGTGTTCTATACTTCGAGAACGAGTTATGCAAGGCGCGTCAATGGCTCTACAGCAGAAGGCGAAGCAAACAACTGTCTTGAGGATGAAGAGAACGACAGGTTGCGCCAGATAGGTCTGGCGCAGGGCATGGTCAACTTTGCTAGGTAGGCCTCCCCGCAAACCCCGCAAATGAACTAATCTAATCGTGCTTGATCTGCAGTAACTTCTCGGCCGGAAAGACACTGGAATATGCTGAAACAGAAAAATCACGGATCGTTCTACTTGAGTTAGAGAAGAACTGGTGGATTGTTGCCGTAAGTGATTGAGATAACGGCACAGATCACACAGCTTATGTTAAGCCAGTCTATCGACCTGACTCGAATTCCCGCCGATCCTACCCAGAAATCCTCTGGAACATCCGACTCTCCGGCATTCCATTATTCGTCGCGAGAGATGGGACCGCCGCCTCTACTGATCCAGCAATTACGTCGCGCCCATTCGGAATTCCTCCTACACCATGACTTCAAGTTAGACGACATCCTCCGTCAAGTCGGCAGGTCCACATTTTGTCTGTTCCTTGAACGTTTCTGGGAGAATTTTGCGTGGAATTGGGAACTTCTGTTGACAGGAAACCCGATTGTCGACATCTATAATGGCATCAAACTCTCTGCGGGAGGAGAGTTGGGGATCGGCGTCGGGGAGGAAGAGTGGGGCAGTGGGGAAAGAGAAGTACTTGAAGACTTCGTGACAAGAACCGACGGGTTAGTGGACTTGGTTGTCTCCAGGTTTGGGGATCCGTCCCCACAGTTCGATGGCCTTCCTGCTTTAGCAGAGTCAAATGACCAAAACCGATGGCTAGGGGCAGATAATGATCCTCGACCATCCGATGGTGTGGTTTTTGCTGGTGTTGGTGCTCTTTCTCGGCACTCATTAGCGCAAGTATCACATTGGATGCAATGCATCTATCGGTTTGGGGATGCTGCGTATGGAGTTGGGCGGGACCCAACCTCGCTGCGTCGCCGCAAACCACGAAAGCAGCGCGGAAGGCAAATTTCAGAAGAAGCCCCTCAGCCCTCCACACCAGATCGCGATTTTAAACCAAGTATACCTCGACCGCTCATAACGGCAGCACCGCAGCCAGTTCCAGAAGTCTTTGAGGAGAATCGAGCAGAAAGAGGAAATGAGGCATCATCACTTCGCGCAGAGCAAAAGAGCGAGATTCCAGGATTTCCAACAGAGGCGGTTATGAAGTACCTCACTCTAGGATATGGCTCCTCTTGGAGTTTCTCCCCAAAGTCGACATCTACGCCGTCTAAAAGTTCTACCCCAATGCGAGAAGAATCCAATTCAAACGTTTCAACCCCGAGGAATCAGCCCATGAATGCTGTACAATCGCCTCAGGCCGGCGTAAAACACCGAAATAGCACGAGGAACAGTCCTTCGGGTTACTTCGTTCTTGGACCTCGTGATGATCTAGACAAATTGGATGATTTGGAAGAGAGAAGCCCAGAACCCGAATCCGAGAACGGCAAACCAAAGACTCGGATAGTGCAAAGAACTCTACATGTGCACCTGGCAGATGGGTCAGATACGACTCCGACAAAGCTCCAAGTCGTGATCTATGTGGTATGTGTTTTTCTTGTATTCCATGGAATCAGCTCACTAATACACCATCCCAGCATCAACCATTCATGTTTACATTCCTCTTTGATCCTCAGACATCAGCATTATCATCCCCATCACTATACTCAAGCATGCACCACCAACTTGGTCCTCTTCAGAAACCGCTTCTATCATCAACATCCCCAACAATGGCAGCCTCCCGAATCGCCATGTCTGATACCTCCCCAGATCCCAATAAACGGTTCTCTACTCGAACCCAGCCAGTTTACGACCTAGTTTATGACCCATCTAATCTAACCATCCGCTCCTCCATCCCCAACATCCCCAGCATGAGCATCACCTCCTCATCCACCCAACCAACCAACTCACCAGCCCGCTCCCCATCCCCCTCCCCCTCCCCCTCCCCCTTCCCTTCCCCATCATCAGCCCCACCACCCTGGTCCCGCGTTGAAAGCCTGGCAATCCACCACCGCCTCCTATCAACACACACAGACACGCGCTCCCGCCCACAAGAGCTCGAACGTACAAGCAAAACTCAGCGCGGATGGTGGGTCGTCTGGGTCCGCATCCCACACAGCACAAGTCAAACTCCAACTGCACTATCCACCACTTCCTCATCCGTCGCTCTCTCATCCATAACCAAGAACGATGACTCCTTCCTCGCAAATCAGTCCCAAATGCACCCTATTCCCCCTCCTCAGGAGGCCTTCCTCGTCCGCAAAGCGAGTGATTACATCTCCACGACAAGCCATGGCCGTGTCAGCAGTGGCGCTCGCTTCTTCCGTGATCTAGGCGGTGCGTCTTCATCCGCTGGATTGACTGGGTCTTCCCGTGCTGCGGATATGGCACCGTCGAAGCTAGTTGAGGGACTTGGTATGGACGCTAGGCGCTATATTGAGGGTTTGCTGAGTTTGAATCGATAGTTGAGATGGGGCTTGGTGGAGTGGAGTGGGGAGTTGTGGGGTTTATATGTCTATAGAAATAGGTATATAAATTTGCCACTATAAACCACGGTGAACATGGATATATGAAATTGTTGAAAGATTTACAGGTTTACAGACATTTACGCAGAGTCCAGGACTACGCATGAGGTCCACATATTAGATGGAAATAGACAGTACTATGCATAAGCTGTAACATAAAAACAAATGTAGTAAAGGAGGGAGAGAAAACAATAAAAGCCGAATCAAGCTCTTCGCGTATGGGGAGATAACCGCAGGGGACAAGAATCTATGACACAGGGGGAACTCGACCAGGGAAGGCGAGTCACGGCGTTGACCAAATTGCACAACCGGTGCTACACTGAATGGCTTCTCCTCTTCATCTCCTGGATGTTCCAATTCTGGGTTCTTTTTTTCGGTGCTTTTCGGTTTATAACTGCCACCTCAATGCGGTTTGGCATTTGTAAATTCAGGGCGTCGGAACGAGGAGAGGAAAAGAAAAAGAAAAGCCCACAGGGTTATGATGAAGACAACGCCTCCCTAGACAAATTCTGCAAATAAAGGCAAAAGAAAAACACAAGGTCGACCAACTGAATTGTGGGGGGAAACCCTCCACAACTCGGGTGCCCGGATTCGATATTATCCACAATTTCGCATGCAGGCCATGAAGCCCTCCTCCTTTCCGAGAATAACGTCACCAATTGTTCTTCGTGGAGGCTCTCATACATTTCTTAGGCCAGACCAGCTCAACAATTGGTTCGTTTAGAGAATCTGGCAAACGGACTTCTTGCGGCCTCCCTTGCCCTTGACGGCCTTCAGCAGAGCAGCACGGGTGGCAGCCTCGAAGACTTCACGCACACCCTCGTTGGTGCGGGCCGAGCACTCGAGGTACTTGTAGGCGCCGATCTTCTTGCGGACTTCCTCACCCTATAGTTATACATTAGTTTATGATGAATTCGTCATGGGATCGGAAAAGCGTACCTGCTCCTGGGAGACGGGGCGCTGGGAGGTCTTGGCAAGTTCATCAATAGTCTTGCGGTCGTCGCGAAGATCCTTCTTGCAGCCGACGAGGATAATAGGAAGACCCTGGCAGAAGTGCAGAACCTCAGAGATCCACTATTGTAGTATGTCAGCATGTTCGGTCCAGTTCGCACCCAAACGTTTCTTTGCTTCGGGATGTGTGATCGATTAGAGATGAGACACCCACCTTCTCCTGGACGTTGTCGAGCGAATCGGGCGAGTCCACGGCGAAACAGATCAGGATAACATGTGAGTCGGGGTATGAGAGGGGACGGAGACGGTCGTAATCTTCCTGGCCAGCAGTATCCCAAAGAGCGAGCTCGACGTGCTTGTTATCAACCTCGACATCGGCGACGTAGTTCTCGAAGACTGTGGGGACGTAGACCTGACGGAAACAAAGTCAGATTATCCTTCATTATTTTTCTCCGGCGTATATTTCTGGGTAAAGTGATGGCGTTTCGGGAATCGTAATTTCGAGGATGGATATCAGCTTACCTCGGGGAAGGTACCCTTGGAGAAAACACTGTGAACTTCAGTCAGACTGCCGAACCAAAAAGTAAACGCAGGGTTTGGGGGAAGCGCCCTCGATGGTTGAGCCACTTTCAGTACTCACATGAGCAGACAGGTCTTACCGCAGGCACCATCGCCGACGATGACGAGCTTGCGACGGATCTCGGCCATCTTGATAAGGAACACGTCAGTATAGGGGCAAATAAGCAGGAATGTACCAGGGAGCCCCGCAAGCTGTAAAGTTTCAAATATCAAGAATTTCTACAGGTACGAGGGGATGACATAGGCGACCGAGAAGAAATGACCAAGTCAGGCGCTCCAGCAGAGGGGGGGGGGAAAGGAAAAGGGTGATCCCATACAGTGTTCAAAGGCGCAACGGTGTAGTAGATTTAGTGCAGTAAATCAGCTAGTGCACGCAGCAATAGCTCTAGAGAAATGAGGAAGATGGAGTAGGTATTTCCGATGGGAAGCGATGAAAAAAAAGGCGATGGAATGATGATTTGGAGGTGGAGGAGAGAAAGATAGAAGACCAGGCCAGACAACGGAGGGCGGTGGCAGTATACGGTATTTGTTGTTGTCAGTGTACCGGTATTGTGGCTTCCAAGTTTCCCCCTGGAGTAGTCCGGTCGAGAAGGTGTCAACTGGTGTGCCTTAAAAGGTACCTACGCACAGCTTTTGGTATTGGTATACATATATTACATCTTTACTATGCCGCTCTACGGAGAACTTTGTACAGCACATCACATATACCCCCTGAGTTTCAGGCTGCCTTATTTTAAATACTGTGGCTTATACCTCTCTCCTTTTTTAAAACAATTTGTACACAGCCCTAGGTATGTGTGGCTGAGGCCCGGGAAAAAAACCCCATCCACATCACCTGGCCCACTTTCTCTTTGCCCACAGTCAGCACAGCCACTCGTGGCTATGTTTATTATATCCGAGATGAACATCTGAGCAATATGTGATATGAGTCTCTAGAGTCCTATCTGCCCCCGGATTTAACTACCCTCTGGCTTTTTGGCTTCGGTGGCTTCGGTGGCTTCGGTGGCTCATTTCTCTTTGGGGGCTTGAAAATCAAAGTCCATTCATTCACCTAAAACTTACATTTATGGGGAAAACCAAAGTTACCTACATTCACCGCATAAAATCAAAGGGCTACTATGACGACTTCTTAGCTCCACATCCTCAACATGTACAATGTACCACTCTACCTGGATGCGCAATCCACAGGCGGTGCTCTTACGTGGCTGCCTCCAGGGCTACACTGATCAGTGTTTACCCAAAATGCCTGACTCAGCCAGTGAAGATCGCTCCGCTGGTTCCCTACATCTGAGATCAGTTCCTTCTGGCGCTCCCCAGGAGCTTTCGGCATGTACTGACTAGCGTGTAGGTGGGGATTTCACAATCTCTTGCTCTACGCTGGCAAACCCCGTCTCATTTGCTACGTATCCATAGGGGTCCCAACTAACTTGAATACTTCGTCAACCCGGGAAATCAAATCATGAAGTTTTCCGAATTTTTTTATTCAATCAAATCATCAAAAGGTTACCCCTTTGCTTGCTTCCGCGCCTACATGATCACATTCTTGAAGCTGCTGTTTGAAAGTGGAGCTGATATAATGCCAGCTCCAATGATCGCGTTGTACCGGCTAAAAATAGTACACAGGGGCCAAATCCTGGAGCTTGCACCCACAAGCCACAAGCCGTTAAGTCGTTTCTTATAAACAAAAAATAGAAGAGCATTAACCTTTCGAGATCAATGTGCACGCTTTAACATTTCAATGGCTCAGCACCAACCAAATCTACTCCGTACACACGTAAGAGTATTTTTCGGTGGTCATTCATTTGCCGCCAAAAATCGATTGTTGTCACAATTTAGATGGGCGTGAGTGGACTTCACGATCGATCTAACATACAAATGCAAGCCCATGACAGATTCCACGTGGGTGAGTGTGCCTTCCCACTCTTAGCCACTCATCATTACAGGATACCCACGGACCTTACCTATATGTCCACTATGTCTGTGACATAACATACCAAAGTACCCGGTGTCTACCTTTTGGCCCGACTTCTCTTGCGCGCAACAAGAATAGGAAGGTCAATGTTTTGTTTCTCAGGCTCGCCCTCGACATGTCATCAGCCTCCTATAGTCATGCTTTAAGCTTTGTGCAATATAACTCCTAAAGCTACGGTGCCGGTACTCTCCTAGAGTCCCATAATGAAGCAGCGTCCAGCAATGATCTCAAACTAGGTGGTATCGGCGTGGATGCGCAGATGTTTAACGGTCATTTGTGACATTCGAATCTTCAGATATAGACCTTTCGTCATGGCGTTGCTCGAATATCCTTCTAATATCACGATGGCATAGCATCCATTCCACCTCGATATAGTTTGTACGTGAATTATGGCCCTAGAACTTCGAGTGTGACCAGTGAGTTGTGATGGGGAGCTGTTTATACAAGAGCATATTCATAAACTCTGGATTTCATTGAGATTGGCGTTGTTTAGGCCTTCATTGTCACTTTTCCATGGGGAATATCTTCCTTCGGCAAACAGAGGGAGTTGCCCATAACTAAAATTCAAGGGTAATAGTAAAAGGCGTCATCTCCAAGTAGCATGTAGTTACAATGCAGCATAAGTATTGGTCTCGGTATACTACTTAAATGTTTATACAGGGGCTGGGCGGCGACTGGTGCTGACATAATAGATATTGACACCGATCACGTGGCCCATCGGACACCCTCAATTTTCGATCCGCGAATCGGGGATTCTGAGGCAGAAACAACGTTCGGCCATTGCTGGACACAACGCCCAATATGCAGAGAGTTATCCAGCGGACAGCTTCAGCCCGGAAGCAGGCTCTCAGAAAAACCACCAAAGCTCATGAACGACAAGAATTGTTGGACCGTGTTGGGGTTCGGCGGGCGCGGAAGGACTTCGGCGGCGCACTGTCTACTCAATTCCAAGCAGCACGAAAGAACCGCTGGGAGGATTGGGAAAAGGGGCCTCTTGCCCCCATGCGAGACTCTGGTCTGAGCCGTACTACATATGGTGGTCAGGATGCTTCCATTTTGCACCCGCCGCGCCTCCCTAAGCACGAACAACGGAGGCATGTCCTCTTCGCCGAAGGTGACCGGGTCTGTGTTATCCGGGGACGGGACCAGGGAAAGATCAATGTGATCCAACAGATCAACCGCGACAGTGAGACTGTCCTTATCAAGGGTATCAATATGGTATGTTTCCGGCGGATGAAGCATCCAGGTCAATGACCTCTTGGTTAAAAAACAAATCGCTCACATTCTTTTCTCAATTAGGCCGACGTTATCATTCCTGTATGGGCCAAAGACAGATTGGGACACGCAGGTGATACCCAGCCACAGGCCTTCCCCGTGTCCTTCGACGACATCCGACACGTCATCCCGCTAGAAGATACAAAGACTGGAAAGTTGCAGGACGTCATTGTGCAGCATGCTTATGCTGCTGGGCCATACATTTCCCGACCTGAACACAGCAAGCTTCCAAAATTCACTCGCTATGTCTCCGGCTTGGACGTCGAAATCCCTTGGCCAATGGAGGAAGAGCCTACCATCACCGACGGCGACATGGACACAACACGAATGGCGGTTGAGACCAGCACATTCACCCCCACACTAGAGGAGCCACCTATGCCCTCAACCGTCATTGATGAGCTGCGCAACAAATACTCCAGGTTCCGCACTCGACACGATCCGGAATACCTGAGAGAGAAGATGAAGGAGGACCTTCGCAATGAATACAGAAAGTCTGTGTCCATGATGACACCGAAGACAGATGCCAAAAACTTGAAGATTGCTCAAATTGCGGAAGCGAGGAAGGCGAGGTTGGATGCCAACGGGAATGGGATATTGACACCGGGTGCCATCAACTTCATTAATGAGCACATCCGAAACGAACGGCTTCTCCAGAAGCCAAAGACACCCACAAAGTCCAAGAAGTCAAAGTCCAAGCAGGCTGCTTGATTGGGCGAAGAAGATGGAAGTCCGAGAGGGGGGGGTTTTTTTCCTGTAGCATTGTGTACACACACCACTGTATTCTAGTATGGAGCTTTGCATTCACTCATATATCTATTTCTCGATATAAAGTTATTTCGAATTATCTTTTGCATTCATAGAGTAGATAGTAGATATGCGTACTCCGTACATGAACCCAAGTTAGGGTTCCAGTGAATGCGGATACTTCGGGTCCACCCTACGTTCATCCCCCAATTCTCCGACTAACCTGCATCTCCCTGCACTGCTGTTCTCTTGAACCAAAGCAGTCGCAACAAACATGGCATTTGCCTCAATTAATTCTACGGGCGCACCCATCGCCGCCATCGAGGAGGCATTTGCGACGGAACCCTTCCTCAAGAAGCGAGTCTACGACGCGATCGGTGCGTAGCCAACAGCGCACCCAAGCCCCCATTCGATGACCCCGTCGACCTTCTGCTGACCGTCGCCAATCGGTTTTATCGTTTAGGTACAACACCGCAGCATAAACCTCTGCTTGAAGATCTTGCGAAATATACCTCCAGCCTGCTGGCCAGGACTGCCAATACTACCCTCCCTTCGCGGCCCCCAACCGTTGATGGGCCTGCCGCTAAAAAGCGCAAGCTTCAAAATGGAGACTCAGGGGAGACTGCGCAGGCGTCAGTCAACCTGAAAGATGGCAATGCGCCACTTCAGTTTTATATTCAAGATGTTTCGTTCTCCACGCCGCAGAGGAAGAAGCTCACGCTCGAGATCACTGCTGGGCATAAATATCTTCGGGCAAGGAATCAAGCTACGAAAGAGATTGAATTCGGCGTTTCCATGGATAAGATTCGTGAGTTTCACCGGGGAAACAACTATTTTTTTTCTTAAAAAAAAGAAGAGTTGCTAACTTGACCTGCTACTAAATTAGGACATGCGCTCTGTCTTCCTGTGCCGGAGAAGACACAAAAACAGTTCAATTTTTGCATCATTCCCGAGTACGCCGATGGCATCACACCCCCGCCCGAGGGAACAACAGCCTCCGAAGCTATGGTGTTTACGATAGCTGATGGACCTGCCAAGGCTGCATTCTCAGGAAATGGGGAGCAGCTTGGCCATGGTCCCGGTGAATCGGCCGAGGCATTTATTCGCAAAATTCTGAATGAGAACATGCCTCACACCAATGTTGTTCGTCCTGATGATAAGCAGTTTGTCAGTGCTATGCCCGAGGCGCACCGAAAGGGCGAGAAAGCATACCATGTCAAGGCATTCCGCGGTAGCAAAGAAGGTTTGTTATATCCCTATCGCCATTGAACGAAGCCATTGTGGTTTCAGGTTTTAGTCTTGATCATTCTAACATACTTTGACTTGCGCCAGGCTATCTCTTCCTTCTCTCTACGGGTATCTTATTTGCATTCAAGAAACCGCTTCTATTCTTTTCATTTGCTACTGTTGACTCTGTCTCATATACATCCGTCCTCCAGCGGACATTCAATCTCAACGTCATGGCTCGCCCGGCGAATGGGTCCGAAGAAGACATCCAGGAATTCGAATTTTCGATGATTGACCAGGATAATTTCTCTGGGATCGATACTTACATCAAGAGACATGGTCTCCAAGATGCTAGTCTCGCAGAGGCGCGGCGCGCCAAGGTCTACAATGTCAACAAGGCCGGTGGAGAGGATGCAGCGGCACCCGCCGCCGAGGCAGCCGGTGAAGATGAAAGCGAGCTCCAGAAAGCACAGCGGGAGCTTGAAGACCAAGAGGATGAAGAGGAAGAAGATTACAACCCCGACAGTGAGGATAGCGAAGGCAGTGGGTCCAGCAGTGAAGAGGATGACGATGAGGACGATGAGGACGATGAGGACGATGAGGACGATGAGGACGATGAGGACGATGAGGACGATGAAGAAGATGAAGATGCTGAGCAGGACGGCGATGAAAACATGGGTCTGGTTGAGAACGAACTTGGAAGCGAAGCTGAGGACACCCCCCAGGCCCATTAAGCACGGAACCGCTTGCCACGATATCTGCTATAATGTAACGATACTATTAGATGAATTCGATTTCTTTAGGCCATCTAGACATGTCATATCTAAGACTTCGATATATATGAAAAGCTTGTACAATATACTTTATAGAGTTAATGACCGGGTTCCTGCCAAGACGGTAATATTACCTTAACCGTATTCCAGACCAATTCCAGACGGGAAATCCCCTGAAAGAAAAAAAAAATTGAATTGGGCTCCCTGATTCTGATTTCTTTCTCCAAATAAAGAACATCTACTATCAGTGGACGTAGGATATTTGTCCTGATATTTTCGGTGTCTGATCCATGCAGCCATGGAGGTTGAGCCGCCCCGGAAGCGCCCAGGTCTGAACTGAGTAACTAGAGAATACAACATATTCAAGAGCTAATTTGGTGGCTTTCCTCGGTCTCCAAATTTATTGAATAAGGGCAAGCCTTTTAATATCAGAGAGTAGGGAATATTTAGAATGGAGGCGATAGCCTCTCATAGGTCTCAGAAGATTTCCCCCAACCCCAAAGTTACCATACTGCCAGCGTACAGTCGTGACCGCCAGTTCCTGCGCTCACCCCCCAAGAGCGTCTTTTACCAATACACACCCAATACCCTCCGCTCCTTGTCTCTCCCTGTTGCTTTCCTTTCTCTTCTCCATCTCCCCCCCCCTTCTTCCTCTGGTCTATCTTTGAACCACTGCTCAGTGCGGCTCGTACTCGCAGTAGGTCGAAGTACCCTGTCTGTTTTGTTTCCCCCTTTTTTACCCTTTTCATTGGCTCTAGAACCTCCGGCTTCAACCCCAGCTCACTCCCGACCGTCAAGGACCCACGAACGTCTCAATTCCTGTTCAGCACTGCCAATTCCGACTGCATTTGGTTGTTTCGGCTTTATACGTCCCTACCTCCCTTTGTCCTTGTCCCGATTGTGCATTCCCTCTACCCTGTCTCCTATCATCGTCACCGATACATCGGCAATTGGGTAAATAGATCCCATTCAGCCTGTTAGAGCTGCTTCGGTCGGAAAAAAATAGAGGTCATTGTGATGTATGTGACGACTCTTGGATCTTGCTTTCATCCTTGTTTGACTTCGTGTGTGCTGACTGCGTCCAGTGAGAGTATCAATCACGTGTCTACGTCCCTGAAACCAATCCCCGTGATCCAAGGTTTCCTTTCCCCAGATTGCAATCTTTACTCCCGCATCCATGGCCTCCTCGTCGTCAAACGTGGTGGGTGTCCACTACCGTGTGGGCAAGAAGATCGGTGAAGGATCCTTTGGTGTCATTTTTGAGGGCACCAACCTCCTGAACAACCAGCAGGTCGCCATCAAATTCGTACGTTTCCCCTTCCATTTAGCGGCGAGCCCCCTGGCTGACCCGAGATCAGGAACCCCGGAAAAGCGATGCACCCCAACTCCGCGATGAATACCGGACATACAAGATTCTGGTTGGATGTCGTAAGTTCTCCAGATCTAGGGAGATATGATGTGCGCTCTTCTAACTTCATTTCAGCCGGCATCCCCAATGTCTACTATTTCGGACAGGAGGGTCTGCACAACATCCTCGTTATCGATCTTCTCGGTCCTTCTCTGGAGGATCTCTTCGATCACTGCAACCGCCGTTTCTCCACGAAGACCGTTGTGATGGTAGCCAAGCAGATGGTGAGTTTTCCCTGCTTGAAATTACAAGAACCATGGCTAATAGTGACTAGCTTTCCCGCGTTCAAACTATTCACGAGAAGAACCTCATCTACCGCGATATCAAGCCAGACAACTTCCTTATTGGCCGGCCATCAACCAAGGCTGCCAACGTTATCCACGTAGTTGATTTCGGTATGGCCAAGCAATACCGCGATCCCAAAACCAAGCAACACATCCCTTACCGCGAGCGTAAATCCTTGTCTGGTACTGCTCGCTATATGAGTATCAACACACATCTGGGCCGTGAGCAATCTCGACGTGATGACCTGGAAGCTCTCGGTCATGTCTTCATGTACTTCTTGAGAGGTGGCCTTCCCTGGCAGGGCCTGAAGGCTGCTACCAACAAGCAAAAATACGAGAAAATTGGTGAGAAGAAGCAAACGACGGCAATCAAGGACCTCTGCGATAGTTATCCAGGTATGTTATCTCACTCTTCGGCACATCCATATTTCATCCGCTAATCATGTGGCCAGAAGAATTCAACAAATACCTGAGCTACGTTCGAAACCTTGGTTTCGAGGATACTCCCGACTACGATTATCTCCGCGATATCTTGACCCAAGCTCTCAAGAACGCCGGCGAGGTGGAGGATGGAGAGTACGACTGGATGAAGCTCAACAACGGACGGGGCTGGGACTACAAGTCCTACTCATCCCAGGCACATCTCCACAATCAGCACCAGGGCTCATCCGGTCGCGACCTGCACGCGAGAGAGCTCCGCAACAGCCAACGTCCTGGTGTGACAGCCGACCGTTTAAACGCCGCGCAGCCCCCGCCTCCTTCGCCAGCGGCTAAGGCTGGAGCTGGGAAGACTCGCGAGCGCCCAAACGTCAGCGGTGTGGCCGCCAAACGCCAAAGCGCGGGGCTAGAAGCATCGACTCCGGCTGCGTCAACCCAAGCCCAGTTTCAAAACTCGAATGCCCACCTCCCCGGTCGTAACGGAAGTCCAGGGAACCCGGCGCTGAGTAACCAACAGCCCCTTGGTGCCCCAGGTACCCCTGAATCGCCGCCCACTTTCACGCAAAAGTTGATGAAGGCACTGTGCTGCGGTAGGTGATTCGGCTGTACTGCATTACTTGAGCGCCCAGCTCATCTCAGGATCCAGGTTGAATTCCAGTTAAATGAAGCAATGGCGCATTTAGACCTACCGCGCCATGCTTTCACCTCTGCTTCCTGCCCTTCATGTCAGAAAATGGCCTTAGGAGGTCTTCATGGGATTTCTTTCTTTTTATTCTTGTTTACTTTCACCTCACGCTCCTTTCTTGCCTTGTGTTTAAGTGGCTAGCGCCGCTTCGCCGAGCAAGAATCGTGCTTCTCGGCCTATATCACCTTCTGGCCATACTCTTTCTTTTTTTTGTCCCATTCGATCCTTCAGCCTATACATTTGACTGTGGGTAGGAACAACCTTTCTCTCATTGATGTTACGTCTCATCACTCTTTCATGGTGCTACGGCTCGGAACGGCGAAGTTGTGGGATTTTTGTCTTGTGTTTTTCAATTTCGCTTCCTCGTCTCCGTCACTATATCCGGCGTGCACCGTTTAATATCAAGGCTTGGTCTTTCAAATGGGCAGGTACTCATCGGTTGATCCTCCGATGCCATTGACTCGCGGTGCGCCGCCCTGCGACCTTGTTTCTTGCGCTGGCTCAGGAGACAAATGACTTGGGATCAATGGCTTCAACCCCCGCACGAGAATTGGCAAGACTCGATGACACAAATACGCCATGATGATGAACCGCGCTGCGAGAGGTGACAATCAGAACCGCTCGATTGACTTTGGGCCATGCTTGCCCGTGTCTCTGGTATACAGCTCTCGGTCTCATTTCGTCCTGTTCATCAACCGGACAAGCACGCCAAACAACTCTCGTTTCTCTTTGGGTGCTTTATTTCCTCTGGGCCGTTTACCATGGCCCTGTCGTTCTTGCTATTTCCTCCCATCCTGTGTGCATCCGGGGGGAAATCTTTTCCACTGCGTGGTCTTCTATTATTGCATGCAGAACCTGGAGGAAGAGCATGTTGCATATATTCTCGTCCCGTTCCCCGTTCCCCCTTCCCATCGACTGCCTTCTCTGCCTGTTTGATTGTTCCAAAGATCTATTGTCCATGTCTATAATCGTCCTTTGTTTGTTTTTGTCTTTTCTTGCTCTGTTTCAGAAGCGAGTTTTTGTTACTGGTAGTCGTGGCATAAGATAGCATTCTTCTTTTTTTTCATTTGGTTTGTTCTACCAGTTTTCCGTGGTTATTCGTACGGCGTATATAAATAATTCCTGTAATAAGAGCTGTTGCATTCTTTTTTATCCTCTCTCTTCTAGCCTAGCAACGTAGATGCATCTATATATCTAGTTTCAATGTGTCGTGGTACCATTTGCTTGACATTCGTCGGTTTGGTGGATATGCCTATCCCGAGGTCGCCTGGAAATCAAATCATTTTATATCTCATCATTTCCATTGGCATAGAGTCTTCTGTAAACTTATATGAAATCAATATCCACAGATCCTCTTGGTCATATGTTGACACCGCAGGTTCAAGATATATATTTTAGAACAGCTATGAGTGAACGAATCGTTCAAAGGCATTGTCAATTGCCTCGCTGCTAGAAAATATATAGTTCCACACGAATCAGGTGGTGCATAGGACTGTGTGCGAAGTATAACTGGAAGTACTCTGGAAGTAGCAGTATAGACTTTCCACCATTCTACACCCTCGAGCTATGTATCCAAATGTTGTAAGGGTTTTTTATATTTTCGCTCCTTTATCAACGTATTCAGTTCGCCACTTCTACTGCAATCACTAGCTTTCGACTGACACGCAACTGACAACATTGCGCAGCTATCCACGACCCCGTAGCCATTCTGCAGCTCTACATGAGACGCTAATGCAAGGATCACCAGTCCGTGGCATGTCATAGCATGACGTAGGCCACCCAACAGAGTAACCTTCTTCAGGGTAGAGTGATCCAGCGAAGACACCTTTTTCTATATGCTCGACGTAGCATGTCTCGACGACCACCCTTGAAAGCTCCAGTCCTTCCTAAACCAGCGCAGAATATGTGCATGGGAAATGTAAAACAAAGCAACCTCCTCGGCATCTCCATATTCAGCCTAGCAAGAATGTGTCACCCCATCATATGATTTCAAAGACTACGGAGTACAGCATAGGTTGTCGATCATCCCCAGACTCTGCAGAAACGGACATAAACTCTAAACCAAAGTATCACAGAAGCCTAGATAACACACAATGTAGAGATACAATACAGATATCCACGGCCCAATAAGCAATGAGTTTACGGATATATCCCCTGGCACCCCCCGTATAGGTACTTTACCGCGAACCAATAATAATCCCCACCAGGTTCGATGGCGCAGTCCCAGCCAATAACATGAATATGCACATGCACAGTAAAAGTAAATACGGATTTGCAACCAACCTTACAGCCAAGACTTATCTTAATACATACCCAATGGTGATAATCAAAGAAGGGGACTGTTTTCGGTCCACCTTGCAGAGCAGTAGATAGGGCAACCAGTTAGCGAATGACACCGAGATTATAGGGGTGTAATAACTTTGAGACTGTAGTGATTTGAGCAGGTTCCCCGCATTTATCTTCCCCGCTTGGAGGAATCGGCCTTGGCGCTGAGCTTTCCCGTTTCTTTTCTTTTCTTTTCTTTTTTTTTTTTCGCTATATACGTGTGGGCTTTCTGCGGGGGTAAGATGTGCTTGACAAGGGTTGTTCTGTGTGATTGGTTGCAGGATTGGCTGTCGGATTAGAGCTGAGTTTGGGTTTGAGCTTTGCCATTTATCGGTTTTCTGTTTTAGCTCTGCCTACGGGATAAGGAGGTTTGGTATGATTAGGGTTGCACGTTACTATTGCACGTTACTATTGCACGTTTTTATTGCACGTTATTGCACGTTATTGCACGTTATTAGTATACATGTGAGCTATTGGATCCCTGCATGTGATGCTGAATATATTGAGGATTAGCCAATATGTGGAAAATCCCATCTGGAACACCAGATTGACCAAAGCTATATCTAACTATAGACATCCATGTAAATCAGGCGCGTAATATGAAACTCCCTACAAGCACATCCCGAGGCCCGCCGGAGACCGGAGGACAAGGCAACGCAGCTGTACTCCGCACACGGGCTTATCTTATAGCTATCTGCGGCTGAGAACCTCCCAAAACAAAAATGAATGGCGCCTAAACGGAGAGTCTAGACTAAACTAGTCGAATTAATTCCCCACACAAAACATAAATTACCAAGTCCAGAATCAGCTCCTACGCGTCAGATCCGACAGCTACAGTCGATCTCGATCATTCTCTCGATTCAGTAGACTTTTTTTTTTTCGGTTTCCTCTTTATACTCCATAATCAAAATTTCAGTTGAAACAGTGGAGAACAAAATGAGGTCATTTGCGGCTTCTGCCGTCTGATCGACTACACCGTGCTCTTTTGGGTGGCTCGGAGGACTTTTTTCCAGTATTTTAGTTTGATTGGTCCAGTTAGTCTGGTTTTAGTTCCAAATCTTGCGTTTAAGTCAGGCTAGAAGGGGCTCGTGTAAGAGGTATGCTACTGGTCTGGAACGTTAGATATATTGCTCTTTCAAATCCAAGATCATCCCGTGCGGATCGGCAAACTTCTTGAATGCTTTCTATCCCTTGCGACTGGCTCGTTTATTCTCGGTAATCCCTGGATCATCCTGTTTTAGTCGCCTGCACATCATTGAGACATAAGCTAAATTGAAGGCTGAAGGTTTCAGGGGTAGATCTGTGTTGCTTGGTTTTGCTTTCTCCTTGCTTGGCTCGTTATTTTGACTATCATTTTGCTTTTGGTTATACAGTGCAGCTCTATTGCATCAAATACGTAATATAATTCCCAGTCTACAGCATACTATCTGACAAGACCGAGAAAGAGAACTTTTGTGTAGAGCAAGATAATTACAAGGGTGATCAATATGGATAGCATTATCGAGGATCAGACACTAAGATACCATGCTACAAACATCCTGACCTTGAATCTGCAGATTATGTATACACAGAATCCCCCATCCCCAGAAAAAGTTGGAAAAAAAGGACGCAAGGGGGAAAGGGAAAATAAAAGCCTCACCCCCTTCCCAGTAGCAAGATAATTCCCCGCCAGGACTAGGGCCTACAGTAGCGTAACTGAAATGTACCCCATATCCATAGAAAGCGAAGAGTCACATATATCCACATCTCGCTAAATTGTTCTAGACGTCTTTATGTAGAAAGGGGACTGTAGTGCACAAACGCGGCCACGGTAAGGGCGCACCATGATCCCGTGCGCACCGATGTGGGGGTACTTTTTCCCGTCTCGGACATTGGGGAAAGGTGGATCTCTCTTACCTCTTTACTGCTTTTGTTTTGGCCCTGGAGATCGGATATTTGGGGGGGGGGGGGGCGTTTGGGGGCTTTGATGCCTTGGGGGTGGCTTAGTGGATATCCGGTGTCGCTTCGCGCAGACTCTGAGTTTGGGTCTAACTTGGTTTTAGGCGCGTACGGAGTAGTTTGATTTTCTGGATGTTATCGTGTCGAGGTGTTATTGGGGTTGGCATGCGTGCTTTTTACTGCATTGCATATTACAATGTCAATGCCAGTCGATTTACCTATCTATCTGCAGGTTTATACGTTGTTCTCTTCTATTGCACAACATTGTGCCATTTGACAGTTCTAACGGTCTGTGCTCTTGCATAGAGAAAAAATCGACCTTTTTTTTGCTATCTGACCGTCGATGTTGCGATAATACTCCGCGATGTTCTGCTCTAGCTCAGGACTGGACCTTGGCATATAATGGCGAATATAAGGATTTGCCCCAATGAGCTATTAAAATATCTTACATGGATTGCTCTGGCCATGCAAGTAAACGTGGTATATTTTTTTGTCAAATCCAAGGTGATAAGCTAACCAAGCTTCCAAGAGCCATGTTCACAGTAACCTTATCCTGGCCCAGAGCGTGACTTTAAAAACATCGATGACAATCATGCATGAATCATGTAAATTCTACGGAGTACTCCGTCTGATCACAGTGGTTAACAGTGCAGAGTCTTCTTATCACTAAAAGTGGATCTACACCGGAGGTGCCTGAAGCCTCCGATCTCCCAGCTCCCAAGTCTTGGCGCTCGGTTTCAATCGGCATTATCACCACCTTGTATAGAAGTATGAGCCCATTATTTCGGCCGAACATTGGGCGCGTAAATCACCATATCAAACCGTGAGAGATTTTCTGGCATGCATGAAAATACGTTATGGGCAGACTCGGAGAACATGAATCATTGATGGAGTGGCGACACCCGGATCTACGTAAAAAAAACTCTGATTCTACGGGTGACTGGGTGTGGAACTTGAGTCCGTTCAGGGGTGGTCAGATCATTTTAATTTATCTTCCCTTTCATTTACGGATGTGGCGATCAGGTGGATTGAAGGTGCTTCGATGCGGTTTTCTAGAATTCTAGAAGGTCTAGACAGGTCACACCGAATCCTTTAGGAATGTAGTCTATATAAACTGTAAACTCTGTCTATTTAGTCGGAGTACTCCGACTTTACTTCCATTTGCCACCAAATCAATTAATGTTCTTATCCCTGTGAATACCACATACGCATCCAGAGAAAGAAAAGGCTTGTGTGACATTCCAGTGTGGTACAGACCTTAAGAGTCAAGGATCGGCAGGGCCGGATTGGCATTGAATACAAGCCCGAACTAGTGCGAGATTATATTGAGTTTCCTGGATATATAACCTTGGAAACATATCAAGGTGACAGGGGAGTTGAATGACGTGCAAGACACATGAGTACCCTCGATGTAAGGGAGAGAATGCCGTAACACAGCCTTATCATGTATTTTATTGACAATACACAGAACCGTGGGTCGAAGATTGACATTCCGGTCTCGGATGGCGCCGGGAGATAAGAGGCTCTAGGAAGTAGATACGAAGTAGAGAAACTGGATATCAAAAGGAAATGGAATATAGACATGGTCAGTAGACAAACATGCATCTCAGAAGAGTTCCTCGTGTTCGGTGGAGCTCAGGGGAGCGAAAATTCAAAGTCGCCACGTTGGGCGCATTGGTCGTTTTTTTCTTCTAGAACCCGTGGAAGCTTACACGTACGACTTCTGGAAGGATTGTGGAGTGATCAAAACAAGGAAGTAGTTATGGGCCTCATGGATACATATGTTACATAAGTGAATATCCAGGACTTCCAAGGTAGATTCATTTTAATCTCGACAGAGGCTACATTTTCAAAGCATCCCTTGCAGATCTCAAGGCGCTTGTTCAAACGTGAGATTCACCATGTTACCACTTTAAGACAAAAGTCAAAACCAATTAGAAAATTCCATGAAAAAAGAAAAATCAAGTAAGCCGAATGAGGAAATAGAAATGAGAAAAAAATGAGAAAAATGGAGAAAAATAGAAAAACGGAAAAAGAAAAAAGAAAAAAAGAAAAAACCAATTATGACATCTTATCGAAAGAAGACTCCACTTGGGCGCAGAAATTAGTTTAGCGTCACCACATAGATCCACTTGGGAGGATCCACTTCAGTCTACTGAGGTGCCCCCCCGTAACGATTACCCAAGTATCGTCATGAATCATTCCAGAATCTTTGCCCTTTTTATTCTTCTTCTTAGACTTCCCTCTCTTTTTTTTCCCACTTATTACCTTTTTGATATTGCCCTCTCACTATATACGACTCTACCACCCCTGACCTCTCCTACCCCTGCCAATCCTATATGCCTATATCCCGATAACCCGCCGCTCTTTAAACAAGCTGGAGCCTCGTCCCACACGCAGGGGACGTCCGGTGAGAAAAAAGCCGATTAAGGGTCCCCGACGCACACTATACGCTATGCTTAAAAAGAAGACGTTGGCGCCGTCCCTCTTCTTCCGGAATCACACTCCTACCGCTACCCCCGAATTGTCCCCCACCTCCTCAGACAGCGACTCCGAAGAGGATATGGAATCATCTGGCTCCCGGCCAGTCAGCCTGGCTATCTCGTCGGGGGCCTTCTCTATGCACCCAACGCTCGACGAGGTGCTGGCCAACATTGCTCCCCCTCCATACACCTTGAGCGCCTTCATGGCCTACCTCTCCCAGAACCATTGTCTCGAAACCTTGGAATTCACCATGGAAGCCAACCGGTACCGGGATTCCTACTACGCTTTGACTGAAAGACTCGGACACGCCGCTATGGAATCGGAATCCTCCGACACTCAGCACCTGCGAATGCTTTGGAAACGTCTATTGGCCGCATACATCTTCCCGGGGTCGCCTCGCGAGATCAACCTGTCGAGCGAAGTTCGAGACGCACTCCTGCAGTACAAGAACGTGTCCACACCCCCCATGCCGGAGACGTTAGATTCCGCTGTGAAGCGCATCCACGACTTGATGGAGGAATCCATCTTCCTCCCTTTCGTCAACAGCCACACCACCTCCCCGTCCATGGGACCCTCCGAACCTTTCATGGGACCCGACGACTTCATGAGTCTCTCATCGACCAGTCTGGATGAACACCCAATGAAAAGGGTGCGGTCGCGCGTGTCGAAGCGCATCTCCCCGCAGTCGTCCACCAAGGATCTTCCCGCAACGGGTCACAGCCGCTCAACCATGTCTCTCGGCGCCGTGCATGCCATCGGCAAACGCACTTCCGGTGCCCTTCTCAGCACGAGCGGCGAGTCATCTTACCTCTCTCTGACCGACGACTCTTCCTCCCCGCAGTCCAGTCCCACCGCCGAGGAGCCCATGACGCCGCCCACCACCCCGCCTGCCAGCGAGCCGCATCTTCCCATCCACAGCCCCAGATTTCGCACCGAGAACCCTTGGAAGAAGATGGGTATGAAGCTTGGCTTCAAGAAGCGTTCCACTGGAGGCAGCAGCGGTGGTCCTCGCGATCCTAAGGTTCTTGGTCTTGACGACTAATTGCCTATTCTTTTCCTCCTTTTCGACTCTTGTCGACATATACAAAACCTACAAAACATACCTGACTCACGACAACTACGACCCCCGCAACGATACCTCTCATCTCAACACATCTTGCATGAATTACCTGCATTCTTCATTCTAGCCTTTGTCGAGCGTTTTATACTGGCGGTGTATGAGAGCATGATGCATTGAAAGCATACGAAACCGGCGTTTTCTTTGTTTGTTTGTTTGTTTTATTTTTATTTTCTTAGATGTCTCCGGCTGAGCATCTTCCAACTTCACTTGTGGTTTTTTTTTTTTTTTTTGCAGCGGATGGCATCACGGGAAAGAAACCCTTATATATCATATCATGTTCTCATCTATAGATTGGATAGAGGGCCCTGTTGGCTTTACAGGTCCTCTGGACACATGGCGTTTTTGTTGAGACATTGTCTTGGTCTCTCTGGGATTTGAATCAATAGACTTGATACCCCCTCTTTCACATCATTCTTCCATCAGTAGTCCATCAGTAGACCGTAAAATACAATATGAACCGTTTTGTGTCCTTAGTCTTGGGACTACGCAGACCTGCATAGACTATGCATTCGACCGTTGGCAAACCCCTTCGAAACCAAGACCTTGTTTCTAACCTCAACATGTCTCAATTCGAAATAATACACATCAGGCATACAAGTATTCTCAATCCCGAAATCAAGTCTTATCTAGACTTTTTTCTTGATCCTGGTCACACATGTCACACTCAAGACATGTCGGAGCCGGGGAGACGTATAGACTTTCAAGTGTTGTACAGATGCACACGTAACCCCGGTTCGCAAACCATTCGATTAATGCTAATGCAATATCCGGCACTCGGATGGGTGATGTGACTTTGCTTACATTTACATGTAGTTATCGGATAGGTTCGGACAGGAAGATTAATAGGGCGAAGGTAAAAGCAGAAGTCAAGGATAGAGAAGTCAAGGATAGAGGAAGTGTGAGTGTAAGTGCAAAAGCAAAAGCCACTAGTACAAGTGTAAATGCAATCAAATATCAATTCTCCTCCCACCCCTCGTCTCCAAAGCCGCAATATCAACATCCCACCCAACACACCTCAACCCCGTCAAATACCTCTCAAACCTCGCCTCGCTATTCAACAAAGCAAGCGTCCCCTCAACAACGGCAAGAACAACATCAAGAGAAGAACCAATCATTTTCCCCAAAACCCTCGCAGCCAATAAAGCATGAACCCACCCCTTCAACTGCTGTCCAACACCACAACCCCGTTTCAGAAGAATCGATGCATTCCATTTAACACCACCAGCCGTATCAGTCGGGACCAGAAACAAGATATACAATTCACCCGCGAAAACAGCCACAAGGCGCTCGAGCGGGAGGGTATCTTTGAAGGATCTACTAGACGCAGATCCGAGGAACGTAGAAACCGACACGCCTATCTGCGCGGATCCTAGATGGTGGGTTATTGTATCTGTGTCTGAATGCTGTGTCCATTGTAACGCGCCGTCTCGGTGGAAGATACGTTCGTGTTTTGATACCTGTGCTGGTGTGAGGATTGTCCATTGAGTTTTGGTGGGTGTAGGAGGAGTAGGGGTGGTATCGAGATTGAGAGCTAGTGCTAGACCCTTGTCTGAGTCTAGGAGGGCCGAGAAGGCGATGTTTGCGCGTTGGCGGTTTAGACTTGTCATTTGGACGGCGCGAACGGCGGCGTAGTTCATGCTCAGATGGAGGGATAGGAGGAGAAGGAGGATCAGCCAGGTTGTGGTGAAGCTGGTTATGTGGGAGATTACTACGGATCCGACCTGTGGTTTGTAGTTAGGGCTGATTCGGACGTTTGGGGTTCTTGATGGAGAGTGGTAGGGATAGGCTTACCAGCATGCCGAAAAGAGAAATGACGGTCTCCTGAGACGAGTCTTTCTGCACGACAAAATATATCAGGTTAATCCTTCCTATCAATTTCCAAAGACACTGTACCACATACGGCATTAAGCTCCGCCAGATTCCCCCATTTGGCAAAATGAGCACTCAAGCTCGCCTTCGAGCTACCCCCAGCGACGCCACAGAGCGCCCTGAGGACACCGGCTGTGCTGAGGATAACCACCCTCGGTGGTCCGGCAGGAACACCCGGCGAGAGACAGTCGAGGATCATGGCGATATCGTTGAAGACATCAGCTGCTAGTCGGTAGGTTTTGCATTCTGGCTCGAGGGCTGTACCGACGCGGTGAGCGAAGCAGATCGTTGCAATGCGGCCTGATATATCTTGCAGGATGTGTAAGAGTAAGGCGGAGGTTGGAGAAGCGTTGGCGTTGCCCACGCCGACTCCTGTATATTGGGTTAAGTGTTAGTTGCTTCCTTGTTGTTTTAGTTTGGTCTATGGGTGGGATATGGACCTTGAAGGACGGCTCTGGAGGAGAGGAGGCCTGCTATTGAGCTGCAAAAGGCTTGGAGGGAGTCCTGTTTGCGGTGGATTGGTATTAGAACTGTGTTCTAGTGGATCTTTGATATTGCTTTTGGTATGGTAGAGCAGAAGTTCGAGTCATGAGATTTCTGTCTCTGAATGCTGAGGATTGCTTACAAAGATTTGATATCTAGGGTTTATATTAGCATTTTTTTGTAGATTGGGGATGCTTCAGGCATTCCAATAGGTTCCTGTCTGTACTCACGGGAGGTAGTCATTGCTGACACTTTGGGGGTACCCAGAAGGAAGAAAAACATCACTCAGCGAGCTGACTAGAAGCTTGCCTGACCATGAGGTAGATGAAGAGGAGCTCTGTTATACTAGGTTAGTTAAGATCAAGAATTTTGGAGGCTTCAGTATAGCGTTGTAAGGCTTTTTGAATCATGCAATGACATCCATATTTAAACCAACATATCATAGGGATTTTATACAATATAATAAATGCAAGACAGAGAGGATTTGTGTTCAGGAAACAGATTATGAAGCGATTGGCAGGTATCCCAGGACATTAACGGGATGTTGGCCTGCTCGGCATGACAGGCTACACGTGGGAATGACTTGGGTTGTGTGCCATGTGTCATTTCAAACGTGCTAGAAAGATACGGGGATGTAAGAAATGACATTGGACCACTTACAATTAGATCTACTCGCCCAGCCGTGGAAGTAATTGAAGAAGCGACATCGGAGTAGACGTAGGTTGCAGTCGGATTTCCAGCCTCATCTGTCTCCTGGAAAGTCAACCGCGTCTCACGATCACTGTGAGAGGTCATGTTCAGGCCTCGGGATGGGAAGTAAACAAGGTTGCTCGGATCGAGGTAGAGTCGGGGAAGGCACGTGCTTGAGACCACGTACCATTCTATCCCTAGTACTTAATGATAATCTTATAGTTCGATATAGCGCTATGGGCTTGCTATATTCGAGAGTATTATGCATCTACCAGAAAAAGCTTAAGTGTTCGAGAAATTCATTTCTTCGAATAGTGCTCACAGAGCCTATGTAACAGGAACCAATTCCTGACCAATATCTATGTATAAAACGCATAGTTCGCGTTTCGACATCAGGGCGATACAGCTGCATGTTGCGCATGAAAGTAGAACACCGAGATAAATCAACCACCAGCGCCGGGTACAAGACAACACCGAGAGAAAAAAAAAAGGGCGGCAAAGAATGACCGCTAGAGAAAGACGCCCTTGTAAATGGCCTCCGACTATCACAAGGAACAAGGTATAAGGTGAGAGTTTCTGGTCTCGGAAACTCTCGGAACGAGTGAGCAAGCATTAGGTCTTCCCAGCGACCGCGAAGGCATTGGCAATGGGACGGTCGGCCAAAGTCAACATGACCGCGCGTCACCAGCCGCAAACTCCAGAAGACCCCAGCCCGCTCATCATGCAACTTCCACAGGAAGTATCATGTCCCATCCATACATTTTGAAAAAAGAAAAGAAATTTATATTTTGCCCGAGGGAGCGCTTATGCGAACATGCTCGCGCCGCCAGTCTCAATGGCCTCCATCTCAGCCTGGGTCCAGGGGAGACGACCGAAGCGGGAGGGCAGCTCAGCGCGGTCAAAGAACTCGCCAGCCCCAGGCTGGACGGAACCGAGCGAGGCGCCGGGCTGGCCGCCGATGCTGCCGCTGAAGGAAGAGCGACCGAGAGGGCCGTGCTGCTGAGCCTTAGCACGGTAGGTGGCGAAGGAGTCAGGGAGAGAGCCAGTGGGAGAGGCGGGGTGGACGCGAGGTGAGTGGTCAATGGACTCTGGAATATGAGGTTAGCTCCGGTCTGGAGAATTTGGAGCTCAGAAATGGGAATTTCACGTACTAGGGACGGAGCGCTTTCCAACGAAGCGAATGAGAGGAGTGCGCGCTGCGCTGCTGAGGATGGAGGTGACACGCATAGTGGTAGATATATGGTAGTTATTTGTGAAGGTGGGAGGTTGGCAAGATCAATTTGACGCGGGAATGTGCGAAATTGAACGGGTCCGGTAATATCCGAATCCGACCGAGAGGGCGAGTCACAACAAGAGAGTGAGTTATGGTTTTTGGAGGTAGTAAGAATACTTGAGTATATGAGAGAAGGTGAATGTAGAGTATTAGAGAATTACAGAGAGGTGAAGAAGAGGGGGCAAGTGGGAAAAGCAGAGAAGATAAGAAGGGTGAGTTACCGAATTGGGCCAAGCCGATTCGGAACCGGGATGTGTACAGTGTACACGGTACAATCGAGTACATCTACAATATTTATTACTACGTGCAGCATACAAAAATATGTACACGGTATAATCAAGTACATTGAGGAATAGGTCACGCCATATTTCTTTTCCTTTAGTACTTTGCATCGGAATCCCATCCCCGTGCAAGCCTCTTTCCAAGACAATATAGTGAAGCCATATCTCTGATCCTTCCCTAGTTTGTGACTCCGGTGAGCTCCTAGTGAGCTCCTCCCCATTCTCGGTGCCTTTTCGGTGCCTGACGCCTACTTTTCGCGTTCTTTGAACTTCGAATCCGCCAATCATCACCCCGGTCCCTGGACAATCTGTTATCCTTCCCCATAGTCCATTCAAGCTTATTTGCCCACACAGACCTCCCCCGCAATCGGAGGCAAAAAAGTCCATTCCAGAATTTTGACTGGATAATATATCGACATCTTGCAGTTATCTGTGCACCGGAATTGATACTCCAGGGTTTCACAGACATCGGAAAAGTTCAAGGCTGGAGACATTGAACATACTGCCAAGAAACAGAGGCAAACCAAACAGACCAAACAGGACCATTAGGACGCTATTAGCAATAACAGCGACACATTAAAATAACCTGATCTCTGATAACCATTGCGCCACTCAAGCTTGGACCCTGACTAACACGTCCCGGATTCACCCGCCCGTTACCTTACACATATCAATATGCATGAGCAGTCGCTTTTCGCCTCGGTTCCAGTCCACCAACATCATGAGCTTCTTCAGCAGCTTGCCGGATTGACGGCCATGCAGCCCCGCCATTGCCTAGAGCGGCGGTTGATCTTCAAAGCCTACCGCAAACCAGGATTGGTGGGTCGCACCGGAGCCAGTCAGGACCTCCAACAGGGAGACCTGCAGCGGTTGAACAAGATGCTGAACGGGAACATGTACTACACCCAAGTGGTTGGTCCGGTTTCCGAGACGGATTTCGGGCCCACTGACCCCGTCGATCAAGACACTCACATGGCCGGCATGGAGGACTCGAAACCTTCTCCATCTTCTTACGACTATGAACGTCAGCCATGGAAGTTGGAGTTCCGTGATATCCCGGAAGCTGGCACCCGCTCGGCGGTTACCTCGCGTCTGATGTCTAGTGCCACGCTGCCGCTGGGAGATGTCGTGCAATATATGAATGCGTGGGGCTATCAGTGAGTGGCGCCATCGAGTCGGTCTCATGATCGCAGGAACTAACCCTGTCTGTTCTAGTTTCACTACTGAATATGTGATCGAAGGTGATATGTTCATCCACAATGACATTGCTATCTTCTTGCATCGCGTGCTGCACTACCCGGGTGGGGGTGAGTTGAATGTGCCTCGGCGGCAGCTGCCTGCTTTGAAGGATATGACTCTGTTTGAGAAGAGCGGAAGCTATGTGCTGCAGGCCTTCATCATTGTCCAGGATGGTAGCAATCAGGAGACGATGAAGACTGCCTCGCAGCATCTCTTTGGACTGCGTGAGCAGTTGAAGTCCGCGGTCCTCCTGGAGCAGGCAGATCGACTGTCCCTTGATACGCGAGCGAAGTAGATGTCCACTCCTACTTCGTTTGAGCATGCTGGAGACCATGAAATATCCGGTCTCTAGTGACGGTATGGCGTTGATTGAAAAAAAAAGAAGTATACCCAGAGCAATCAAGTCCACTGCATATTTTCATTATTTTCATCCCCGGAGTGAGTGTAGAGACAGAAGTATTAAGGCCGAAGTACTCTTATAGTTTCCATAAGTAAAAGACCAACGCCTATACTAATGTCCGGGTAGGACCATAGCTGAGAGGGTAAACCATCAACTATTCTCCTACCTGGACGAACACCACGAAAAAAAAAAAAAAAAAAGTGTGAGAGCCAAAAAAAATCACATTGCCGGATTGGAGTTCAAAAGCAATTCATCCGAGCTTGCCGTGCGTTTCGCGCCGACATCATCCAGTCTTCGAGTGAAGCCGGGCATCAAAAATAGATATGACTTCACTCCCGTCTCTAAAGGAGACCCTTCTTGCCTCGTCCTATCTTTTTTTTGAATCTTTCAATCTTAAATCTGAATGTCACACACCTGGCTGTATGCAATTCACTTTACATGTTCAGAACATGTGACTTCGTGATTGTTCCCGCGTCCGGGGCGCGTCAAACACCTCAGATTTAACTGCAACTCGCTGCGAAAACCGATCGAATCAACCACCACACCAAATCTCTCCTTAAACTTTTCACGACGTATTCACTCGCCCGAACTGCCAGAATGGCCGAGGGGGCAGCCAAGAGAAGCGCCTCCCCCACCCAGCCCATTTCTCCACCACCATTGCGTCGCAAGCTTGGGTCGACAGTGACCAGTGAGTCTTACTATTCACTGGTGATTGAATCCCCTAATCTGAATTGATGTATAGAGAAAACAGCAGCGAACTTTTTCACCCCAGCCTCACAAAAGAAGCCCGAACCGATCACATGGCGGGTCATAGGCACAAGTGTTATTATCGGGAAGCAGATAACCGGCAAGGCTGGCCCTTACACTGAGAAACAGCGCAGAATTGCTGGATTTGATCTAGTAAGTAGTTGAAACGAACTCTAGAACAGGTAGTGTCGAGATAGAGGGCCTTGTTGACGTCAATATATAGGATTCAACCTTGATTAAGACCAAATCGGGCAATGTCTTTCCCAAGTCTGCTACTGATTGGCAATGGTGGAACGCTAAAGTTCCGGGGCGTCTGAAGGAGCTCAATGCTGAGGGGTATGTCCAGACTCGGGGTATAGGATTAGATGCGTTCACTCAAACTTATACTCTGACAGCTTCCAAGTTGTGATCTTCTCCAACCAAAAGAAGATCAGTACCCAGAAGGATATCAAGGGCGGAAGAAGTGACTCCAAAAGCCTGTCGAACTTCAAAGAAAAGATGACCGCCGTCATGACGGAACTGGATTTCCCGGTCAGCGTCTACGCGGCCACGACAGACCCTGAATATAGGAAACCCCGTCTCGGGATGTGGCGCGAGTTCCTAGACGACTATGATCTCGATGTTGCGGGTGTTGACTTGCCCGCGTCGATTTTCGTCGGTGATGCAGCCGGAAGGCCAGGTGATCATTCAGCTGTGGATCGGTAAGAGCATCATAACGATCAGTATAGTGTGACAGAATCTGATCTCGGCTCCTCTAGGGGACTTGCTACCAACATCGGTATGCCATTCAAGACCCCCGAGGAGTTTTTCCTCGGGCAGATCACGGAGCCGGCGACGATGGGCTTTGATCCGATGTCCTTCGTAAAGACAGATCTCGAAGAGCCGGGTATGTGCTGTCTTGTTACTTCCAATGAACTTGATATCCCCTGCAAGAAACCCATGGCAGATTGTTGACAGGTCTTCATCGCAGCCAAACCCTTTACTCGCAAACATCCACTTGAACTTGTTATCTTCTGTGGCAGCCCAGGTGCTGGGAAGTCCACTTTCTACTGGAACCATCTGGAGCCTCTAGGCTATGAACGAGTCAACCAAGATCTTCTCAAGACGGTATGCGTTAGAACCAACTCGAAATGAAACTGAAATCGAATTCTGACGAACAACAGCGTCCGAAATGTCTCAAGGTCGCCCGTGAGCACTTGGAAGCCAAGAAGTCCGTGGTAGTCGGTACGTCATAGCGTTCCTTTCCATCTTCTCCCAGCTTAATTTTCAAGCGATCTAACCCGACCCTAGATAACACGAACGCCGACCCAGAAACACGAGCTCACTGGACAAATCTCGCAAAAGAGCTCAAAATCCCCATCCGTTGTGTACAGTTCATCTCAACGCCAGACCTATGCAAGCATAACAACGCCGTCCGAGCATCCAACAAAGAACTGGTACGTATAAATATCTTCACCATCTCAAATCTCGATCTCATCATTCTAATCCCAACCAGAACCCCGAATCCCGAACCTCCCTCCCCGGCATCGCCTTCGGCGACTTTGGCCGCCGCTTCCGCGCACCAACACTGGACGAGGGCTTTGACGATATCATTCCCGTCGAGTTCCAGTTCCACGGCAGCGAAGAGGCGAAGGGGCTCTGGGGCCAGTACTGGGTTTGAAACCAGGACTGGTTATACGCCTACTATTCACGTCTCGTGGCATATGCTTACGCCTGCAGTGTTCTCTGCTCATCTTGATCTCTGTGCCGCATGTATTGAAGCCGAAACACGCCTCGTGTCAATGAACCTATTACCTGTTGATTAGGTTTCACCTGACCTCAAAAGCACGAATGTTGATCTCGACTGCGTCAATGTATGTTTCGGTTCTGCGGTAATCTGAGATCAAAGCATTCTCAGCTCGGATGTGGACACTGAGGGGTATAGATGCGAGTGGGATATTGTATGTGTTATAGCAAAGCTCTATCTCAGACATGACGTATAGCCTTCCAGACTAGCGCATAACTATATCACCTACAGTAGATGCATACATAGTTAGGTGCATGTAGGGCTGGTAAGTACATGGAGTCCTAGTAGTAAGCGACACATATCGCAAGCACGCAATCACACAACCCCAGGCACTATACACTCCATTGTCGCCTGAACCCCCCACTCTACCAACTCAGCGGACGCAATCTGAATCTGAATCTGAAAATGACTCAGACTTACAATATCAATATAACCCGACCCTCTTTGCCAAGACAAGGCACAGACAGGTACAGGTACCAGCATCATGCGCTATAGACGTGTCTCCAGTGGATACAGGTCTGTACCAAAAGTCCACAGTCGTTCATGTCGGTATTTTATACGTTTGTACTCTTCAAATGGCGGTAGCTTCACAACGTGGCCGACCCACACTAGGAGCCAAGTCACTCCACTGTGTTGTTGTACATGGACACTCTGTGACTCATCTACACGCACTTTATACTTGAACGGTAGTTCGGTCTCCCACGTGTGGGGATTGTATTATGCACCATGTCATCCCTTCTGTACAGACCTTATGTTTTCTATGTTTATAGATTGTATGTAAAATGTAAATATAGATGTAATTATAGACATGTGCATATGATAATCATATGTTGCAGCAAGATATATACATATAGAAACAAGGGTATGGTACTTTTTTCAATGCTTTTTTTGGCTTTGGGTCTCTGTGGACCAGTGGGTGGATAGGGTTGAAGTCTATGGGGTACAACGGGCTGGAAGGCTTGGTGTATGGGGGGTATAGTTATGTATAAGACAGAAATGAGAGGAAGGGTGGATACACCCTAGTCAGTAAGGGTTAACCTTTCTTCTTTCTTGTCGACTGTTGAAGGGATGATGTCTTTGGTGATGCAGACATCAAGACCAAGAAATGGAAAAGAAACCCTCGAAAAGACAAGACTCGGGATATAGACGAAGGAATGACATGATTCGGGGCGAGAACAGTAGTCGCTGAGCCGGATCGTGAGTCGTAAGAGTCATTATAGTTTCAAAGCCAAAAAAAAAAAAAGTATAAAAGAGAGAGACAAGACATTAATCGTAACAGTGCGGGCGAGATCAAAATGCGCGCGGGGAATAATCTATCGTCATTATCGTTGCGGATCGCTTGAAAAGGGGGGGGGGGGGAAAGAGAAGAACCTGAGCGCAACGAAATGACTCAGGTCTCAAGGTCGGGAGACCAAATCCTGGAAAAAGCGGAAGAAATTCCTCTTTTTCTCAGAACGGCAGGGACCTGCAATCTCCGTAGCCGGTGCCACAGTCATTGGGCCGACAATATCCTCATCGCCCATATCAGGGAACTTGTCGTTGTCATGCAGACGTGGGATGCGGACTTGTTGGCAAGGGTGGATATTAGACTGGGTGAGGGTGAGCGCAACACCATCAATAGCGCTGAGCTGGTCGAGCATAGCCTCATGCTGCGTTGCCCACTCGCGGTTGATCGACTCCCATTTTTCCACGGTGAGATTGTAAATGTTCGAAGTGACGCCGTAGTGCTCGCCCGTACGGACGAGATGCTTGGCAAAATTGCAACGCGCAATATCCCAGTCTGCACGTAGCTGCTGGAAATGGCCGATGTCGCAAGCCACGGGGTCGTAGGGCTCGGGGACGATGGTGAAATTGGCGTGACCGAGTTTGTTGGCCCATTCGTCGTTCGGGTCGGAGAGGACGAGGGGCGTTACTTCGCCTGAGACTGTGCGTACGGTGCTGGCGCGTGGTCGGTTGAAGGAGGCCACGGAGGGCTTGGATGAGAGAGGTGGCGAAGGGAGAATTCCCATAAACCGCGGGTCGGACGTCACATTGTAGGTATGGTGTGGTTCGTTCACGTCTGCGACTGAGGGAGACTGCAGTGGTGACTGGACGCGTGATGCTGCGACGCTTGTTGGGTCATCTCCCATAAACGGTGGCAGAAGAGGGGTTGTCGCTTTTTGTATATCGTTGTCGTCCTGGCTGAGACTGTTTGCTCGGGTGATATCGATTGGGCGCGCGCCGGACTCGCTCGCGCGTTCTTCGAAGATCGTTCGCGCGGGCGAAGGGGGAATCGAGTCGACCCGACTCATCGACATGGAACCAACGACGGGACTCGCCAAGGCGGAGGCCGCCGAGTTTGCGCGTGATCGTAGATCATCCGGGAAAATATCGCCTTCTGCACCACCGGAGGATCGTTTGGTCTTCCACCGGGCTGACATGGTCGACATATGGGAGTTGATGCGCGAGACGCCCTTTATTGAGACACTGTCTGAGCGTCTCTTTTTCGGTGATGGGGCAGTCTCCATGCCGGTAATGCTCAGATCGTAGCTATCTGAGTTCTCGACGGGAGTAAAGTATGACTCTTCTGCGGACATGCGGTAATCGAAATGTTCTATAGAAAGTCTTTAGATTAGCAACTGTGGTATCGGGGGAAGGTTTTTTTTTGCGGTGGCGATTGATCACATACGGAAATAATGATCTTCCAACGAGTCGCGTGTGCATTCTTCTTCTTTAACTCCAGTTAATTGACTCCGACTGGGACTGTCCATTGAATTTCCCAGACCCGAGGAAGAGACGAGGGAAGAGACCGAACTGGAGACGCGGTTGTGACCTGTCGCAGAGAACAAAGAGGTGGCAGGTGAGGCCGGCGCAGAGGTATTAATAGTTAATTGGGAGTGCGGCTGGCGTGAGTCCGCGTCGAGACTTTCTCGTGTCGCGTCGATTATTTGAGACAGTTTATACATTTTGTGAGCCGCTGGACGGGGTGGCTGGTATATAGGGGATGGTTGCAGTCCAGCATCGGATGTGAGGGGTGACCACAAGATAAAAGACGTTCAATTTGAACAAGTCATTCCATTTGGGCGGAAACTGGTAGCGGTGTGATGGGTATAGTCCGGGAAAGGCGGGAACTGAAGTCTACCAGTTAGCATGGAATGCACATAGAAAACAGTCCAAATTCAGAAAATAGAAAAACAATGAATTCCACCGAGCGACGTGGACCAAACAAGTTGAGACTAACTGGCTGGGCAGGAAAGTGCTTACAATCGGCAAACGGACTGGTGAACAGGGAAATCCTGGGTAGTACTGGATGTTTAGAGAAGAAAAGAAGAAAAGAGTGAGAAGGATAGAACTAGCTCTAGACTCACAAACCGTTAGTGGAGAAATGTGAATTCCTAAAAAAATTGACTAACACAACAATGGGCTAAACTCAGTCCACAAATATTATTCCCAGGGTATGCTCCGTCAAGTTCCGGTGGTTGACACCATGTGAACCGTGGTATTAAAAAAGTCCGGGTTCTTATTTTTTTTTTATCCATTGACATAATCTATTTACATAGTTACATAGTTACATAGTTGCATAGTTGCACACATGTATCCCATATTGTTTTTAAACCCCCAACGGCTACACAGATATGTTGTGTAGCATGTGCACCCGTCCACACATTCCGTATACAAAATCTGTGCGATCGGCAATCTAGACTAAAGTGGATTCAAGAGAACCATTATGATGCCATCTCGACCCAGTCCCCCCTGATTCGCTCTATAGATTGGATACATCCGCTTATCCTTATCCATTGACTCGGTTATCACTCGGCCCAAGTAGGTATACCCCTCCACACCCCGTTTGTACAGCAACCAGGGACAGCAACCAGGTCCCGTAGGGGTCAGAACTTTGTCCGAGTATGACGAGGGTTGCACAAGGTTTAGAGGGTTATTCGAAATCCAAGTGCGAGGGTATTTGGAGTATACTCCGAACTAGTACCTTGGTGATAGCACAGTGGTACGAAGAGATCCAATCATAACCATTGGGATGAGTAGGTACCGAGGGGGCAAATCCTTTCACCTTTTCACCTTCTGGCAGATGTCAGATCCACATGACTCGCTTCGGGGAATTCGGGGAACATTCCATTTTTCCAGAGAGGAAAGGTAAGCCATGGTGTTCGTGTTGGGTGCCCAGTGCCTTGGGGAGTTTGGTGGCGTAAGGCGAGTCTTGGCACCACCTGGATTCTCGGGGTTATCAACGGGACTTGTTCGACGAGTCACCTTTTCCAAGGAACAACCTTTACTCTTCACTGATGTATCAGATTCTTTGTCCTTCTTTTTTCCACTGGAGATCTCTCCGATCCGCTAAAAGTATCCCTGCAGGTCACTAGGACAGAACAGACCGCACGGCAGTCGAAAATGGCATAGGCTGGGTCTACTAGCTTGGGTGGCCAATCACCGCCACCTCGGCAAAAGATAAAATAAAAAGAAGCAAAAAAGAAGCAAAAAAGAAAAAAACCTAATCGTGTAATTTACTGAGGTAATCACCTAATTAGGAAGGGACACTTCCGATCTCGGGCTGTTCCAGTTATGTCATATCAATCCCTTCGCAGGAACACATACCACATGATATACAAAGTCTTGGACAGATATATTCTTTGAGACATATAATCTAATCAAAATTGCCACTGCTGTAACCAATTTCGCATGAGCGAGGGAGAGATCGGGCCGAGAGTTCTCATGCTGACACTTGCCTCTCTCGCCCGTCGGACATCCAGCGCCACAGACAAAGCACTATCGCCCTGGAGCCCACGATAGAAACCTAGAAGCTTGAGTGCGGGCTTTGAGGCAATATCCGCACTGTTAGGGTTTATACTTTCCAGCTCGGCAACCCACGCGGAAAACGGAACTGGCTCGACCGGATACTGGCTCTGGATAGCCGAGATCAAAGACGACCATGGTGCTCGTTTAGGATTCGTGAGATGAAACACGGCCCAGCGCTCTTCGGAGCTATGACGTGTGTTGACGATTTCCACTATAATATTCGATAGAGTGTCCTAAATAAAGCAAGAAAGTGATCAGCGGTAGGTCTTGGCTTTTTTTTTTTTTTTTTCTCCGGCCGAGTTTTGGAGCTCCATGTATAGTGTTCGGGATTTCAGCTTACCACTGGCACCCAATCGACCGCGGTCGAGCCCAGTCGGTTAGGAATTTTACCCATCGCTTTCGACGTTGCGATGATCGTCGGTAGCCATTCCTGCGGATTCCATTGTCCGCACGCGGTGGTCGGTCCGGCAATCTGTCCGACGCGATACACCGACGTAGGGACGTGAGATCGTTGCGAGGCCTCTAGACAGATGCGCTCGGAGATATACTTGGATTCACCGTAGCCTTGTGGCAGAACGACCGCAATGTCCTCTATCGGTACTTCTGGGATTGAGGCACCCATTTCTGGGGTCCAAGCGCCTACAGTGCCGATTGAGGAGATGAAGTGAAGATGGGCGTTGCTGCGACTGCTCAAGCTAAAGTCGATAAAGCGTCGCACACCCTGGATGTGAGTGCCCTCGAAGGAATCGACGGAATGGTTGAAGTCGACTTTCCAGGCGTTGTGGATGATGGTGTCGACGGAATCGAGAAGTTCTTCGTACTTGGACTCATTCAGGCCGAATCGGGGTTCTCCGAATGAGGCTTGTAGGAATTCGACCTTGTTCTTCCAGTCGTATGTGTCAAGGTGCAGTCCTTTCTCCTCGAAGCCTTGCTTCTGCCGTGATTCGGCATCTGAGCGATTGAGGCAGTAGACTTTAGCGATGGAATCGCTGCTCAGTAAGGAATGCAGTAGATAATTTCCCAGTGAGCCAGTTGAACCAGTCAGTATCACAGTCGAAGGCGAATGCAGTCCATTCTGGGGGCAGACTTCCCGCGCTGGAAGATCGGATGTATACTTTTCCACCAGTCGCTGGATCTTCTCCGTTCGTGGGATACCAGCTTGGGGTTTTCCATCTAAGATAGCCATTACGACTCGTGACAATCGGTCGACTGTTGGGTTGCCATAGATCGTTTGGGCACTGATGGCTCCTGCTTTCACATCTGGCCGACGTAACTGGATGCCCTTTTGCAGCACCCGAGAGACATGAATGGTCATCAGAGAATCAAGACCGGCGGAGTAAAAGTCCTGAGTGTATGTGATGTTGGGTTTCTCCAAAACACGGGTAATAATCTGGCGAACATACTCTGTAACACTCTCACGGTCCAACGTCTCTGGTAGATACTGCTCCAAGTCATCCTCGAGGTCTTCGGCATACATAGCATCAATCTCTTTCTCGTAATCTCGAATCACAGCCCGGCGCTGCACGCTCCCTTTAGGAGTTGTCTTAAATGGCTTCGTCTTCACTGCGAACCAGATCTTGTTCTTCATCACCCGGCCATGAGCCGCAATGCCCTGGTTAGCTATTTGCACTGTCGGCCAGATCTCATCAACAAAGACCTTCTCGTCCATATCTGGTCCTCCATCGCTCAGCTCGACGAGCAGCCCAGCCTGGAATCGGGACTGGCCGACTACCACCGCCTTTCCAACCAGCGGATGTCCTTCAATGATAATTTCCATTCCGACAGGATTGAACTTCTCCCCGTTGCTTAGGACAATCACATCATCCTTACGCCCATAGAATTTCCACAGACGTGGGTTCGTCGGGTGTGGTGTATATAGATCGTTGGTCGGATAAACATTTATGTCGGGGTAAGTGTGGAAAATTCCCTTAAAATCGCGAGCATTCTCCTGTCGAGGAATCACCATCTCGAATACACCTTCGCCGATATCGTGCATTTCCACACCAAAGGCTTCATTCCATTCGAGGTAGCCCCAGTTGGCTGGATCCTCCGGCACCAGTGCTGGGATCACACCAGCCTCACTGCTTCCCATGATCGTTATCATCTGCGTATACCTGCGCAGTCGCTCACCAGCTTCTAGGGACAGAGGGGCGCCGCCAAAGTAAACGGACTTGAGTCCTTTCAAACAAGCCAGTGCTTTGTCGGAGTGACTAAAGTCTTCCAGGATGGAGGGTGCGCAGACTGCGACTGTGGGATGGGCAGTGCGCATCAGCTCTATCATATGGTCGACGGAGAGTGGTTTATCTGGACCAACGAGAGTGGGAACTTCGAACCACACTGAGAGCAAGAATGTTACTAGCCCCAGTAGATGGAAGAAAGGCGTCGTACCCAGAACCAGCTCGGTTTGATCCAGATCGTAGTACATTGATGGCTGACGACCTGTCGGCTTTGGGAGATGGGAATGAGAATCGATGGTCATGAAAAAGCCGTTGGTGAGATACACCGGCTTTGGCATGGCTGTAGCAGGAATTAGTACAGGTTCACAATACCATGTTCATGGAATTTACCTGTCGTTCCAGAGCTATGGATGATGCACGTTGTGTCATTCTCTGCATCGGCATAGGACTTAGTATATGGATAGTGTTTTAGACCACGCGTGTCACTGAGGATTTCCTTCATAGTCGGGACCTGGAATATATCCAATTTCGAAACAAGTCTTTGGAGCTCGAGGGCTCGGGTTTGGCGCTGCTCGCTGAAGAAGAACTTGGTGCAGTTTGTCGCTTTCAGTAGATGAACATGGGCTTCGTCCGAGTTCCTGGTGGAAGGCAAGAAGGCCTATAAGAATCAGTCCGACTGTTCTAACTTCAGCTTTAATGGCTTTATTTTGGTACCTGGTATCCAGTCTTCTGGCATGCAAGCATAAATATGAAATAGCGCGCATCGTTTCTCCCCATGTAGGCCAATGTCTCTGGGTATTGTGTCGGTCCAATGGAGCTTTCGATCCACCAACAAATGAAGTTCACGGCCCGTGCCAGGTCTTTGATTGAAAGGTCTTGGAATCCATCGCTTATTTCCAATCCCTGTGGAATAACTGCAAATCGTTGGTTGGGATTGGTTTCGGCACGATCATCGACCGTTGTCGCAAGCAGTCTTTTCCGATGAGACTCCATGCTCCTGTTGGAATCTAAGATTTGGGTGTCAGGAAGCAAGTTAAACCAATGCAGTAAGAATGCTAGGAAATATTGAACAGAGCAACGCGATATGTTAAGAACTATTCAATTTTAAGGGGACATAATAGTAATCCATATTTATATCCAGTATACATAGTTCCAGGAACCTTGATCCCCAGACGAAATGACCTTGATTCGGGGTATTGCCAAAGTGGCAAATTGACATTCATTATTGTCGTTATGTACCATATATCCTGTATAACTAGCACATGTAGTTTATACATTATGGGAGTAAATAGCTTGAGCATGTAGATCACTGCCTATAGGACGCTAGTTTCACTCCCACTTGAAGCGTATTTCCCGTGTCGAGCATTACTATGCTCCCTTTTGGCTTCATAACAATCGAGCTCCTCCATCTTCCAGGATATTGGTGCCGGATTATGATGGAATATAACAAGGGGGTATCTATGTCTCAAGGCAGGTGGGCCCGACACAGAACAATGTGTTAGATGGCTTTACCAAAAGATCACCACGTAAATCTGGGATGGTTCATGTCGGTAATGATCGTCCTATGTGTATGCTATGACCAATTGACCACCTACTCGTGCATCATGTCAGGTTCCCAATCCATCACTCATATGGATGCATGTAACAACAGATCTCAGTATAGCAATGATCCACAGATACAACGATGTTTGTACGATGTAGATATCTGTAGATATGTTCATGATCTTGTATGTCATTTATTATTTCTTGTAAAGCTTAGCTGTATATAAGCTTTTCTTCCTTCGGGCTTAGGACTACCGTCTACTTGCCAGTGGATTTGTTGCATATAATCATTCTTCAGGAAATATATTACGAATGAAAAAATTTGATAGTACTTGGGATGTGCCAGCATCTAGATATCCACTGTATAACTCCCTTCAATATTGGACAGAATGGCGACCTGAATCTCTTCATATTTGAACAAAATATACATCTCAGGGAACTCGACAAATATCTGAAAATATCGGCCTGACATGAACCAAGGCAATTCAACCCAATCAAACAATATAATAAGACAGACTTGATTTGTATCCAACAGGATTTAACTCGTTCTACACCTAATCCTAGCCATTGTGTGGCCCCCCTAAGGCTTTAGGGGCCTGGTATATATAGTGCTACAGACAGATCTGGTCATGCCCAGATCTGGCTATGACCTTTTTGGCCTAGTGGTTAGAACCTGTGTCTTATGTAATATTATAGGGCCTTGCGGAATTACAATTGTTTTGATATCTATCCACGTGACGTCGGGGTTGTTTCCGATCTCGGACTCCGACCTAGGCAAGTTTCACAAAATATTCAACTCTCTGGGTGTCGGGGTTATTCAATTATTCTGGATACAGAACACATAAAAATTGGAACATATACGTACTCTAATCATCCAATGAAGTTCTCTTCGTATCTCGCGGCTGCGGCCATCATGTCCGGTGTGCAGGCTTCTCCGCACCCCGCACCTCAGCAACAGCTCCTGGGCGTGTCCACGCCCTCCCAGCCCAGCTACAGCCAAGGAGGCCTAGATGATATAATCAGTGATTCACCTCTACTATCTCTCCACCGAGATCTGGTCAAAATTGAGTCAATCTCCGGAAACGAGCACGATGTCGGCCTCTTCGTCGCGCAATACCTGGAGGCCCGGAACTTCACCGTGGTAAAGCAAGAGGTGCCCCCAGTGAAAGGGCAAGAGGACGTAAAGACGCGCTACAACATCTACGCCGTTCCAAAGTCCTACACAGAACCCCCTTCAATTATCCTCACAAGCCACATCGACACAGTCCCACCCTTCATCCCATACTCCGTGCACCAGCCCACCGCCGACTCCACCACCCTCGACTCAGAGGACTTCATCCTAGGAGGCCGCGGCTCTGTCGACGCAAAGGGCAGCGTTGCAGCTCAAATTTTCGCAACCCTCGAAACCCTAGACTCTACCCCAGAAGCCAAGCTGGGCCTCCTTTTCGTCGTCGGCGAAGAAATCGGCGGCGATGGCATGAAAGTCTTCTCAAACTCAACCCTCAACACCAAAGACGCCTTTAGCACTATTATCTTCGGCGAACCAACCGAGGCAGCCCTCGTCGCCGGCCACAAGGGCATGCTCGGCTTCAAGGTCCTAGCCCACGGCAACGCCGCACACTCAGGATACCCGTGGCTGGGCAAGAGTGCCGTCTCGGCGATTCTGCCTGCGCTCTCGCGCGTCGACGTTCTAGGTGATATCCCCGTCGAAGAAGGCGGTCTACCTGCCTCCCCGAAGTATGGACCCACAACGCTGAATATTGGCGTCATTCGCGCTGGCGTCGCGACGAATGTTGTTCCTTCTGAGGCGTGGGCGGATGTTGCTGTCAGACTTGCGGCTGGTACGCCTGCTGAGGCGCATGAGATTATCCAGCGCGCTGTTGATGAGGCTGTGAAGGATCAACAGGCGGAGGTTGTTTTGGACTTTGTTTCGCATGGCGAGTCTTATCCGCCGCAGGATTTGGACGTTGATGTTGATGGGTTCAATGTTACTACTGCTAACTATGGTACTGATGTGCCGAATCTGGAGGTCGGTCCTGACGTCAAGCGCTACTTGTATGGGCCTGGCAGTATTTTTGTTGCTCATGGTGATAATGAGGCTTTGACCATCCGCGAGATTAAGGAGGCTGTTGTTGGGTATAAGAGGTTGATTGAGGCTGCGCTGGAGAGAGAGGAGAAGAAGTGAGGTGGCCATATGATTGGTTTGTTACATATCATCTTGATAGGGGTATGATATCTGGTTTTCGGCTACTAGGTCTTGCCTTTGGGTTATCTTAGGTCACCAAAGGTGGTGGCTTGGGTTTATGTACATATGAAATGCAATCTCTGTACACCACTGCCAGGAGTATTGCTTACTGAAGGTAAAATCGGTCATATACAGAAGGTTGGTATACAAATCTAGGCTTCCCCAGAGTACAAACGAAAAATCACAGGAAAAAAGCGCTGTACAGAACACATGAGACATCAAAGCCATTAACAACCAAGATTATACCCAGCATATATCTACTGCTTGGGCGCCCTCTCCCACCCCGTCTTAAGATCCCCAGTAGGCTTAAACCGGGGGAATGGATGGGCCTCGGTATTGAAAACGTGATCCTCCAGCGAGATGAAATCACGATCCGAGAACAACAAGTAGAAATACTTGAGTGTCTCAGCCATCCAATAGCCCTCCATATTGTCACGCTTGTATGAAGGGGTTGCATCCGCGTTTCCGAGAGATGTAAAGCCCTTGATACGGAAAACGGGCGCTGTGTTGGTTGACGTAGGAATACGGGAGGTGCTCTTCTTCTCGATCACGGCTGTGTGTTTGATGAAAGACTTGAAGATCTCCCAGCCCCATTGCCGGTAGATTTCGTCGCCGGTGATACGATAGAGATAGAAGAGGGACTCGACTGTTTCCGGACGTTGTAGATTGTGGCGGTCGTTGCGGTGGATATCGATGTCCGCGCGCCAGGACTCAGACACATCGCTTTGCGCCGCTAGGGGCTTGGAAATGCCGCGCAGTGCCTCGGGCTTGGATGCGTGGTTGGGGTTCGTCACTGGATCTGGGTACTTGTCTGCCATCATCACGGGCGGCGAATCTAGGACGAAGTGGGAGATCTCAGAAGCGAGGCCGGTTGCCGTTGCCTTGTGCATTGCCCAGCAGGTCTTCATCAATTCCTTGGACATGAGGATCTCCTCTTCGTGCTGTTGAGTCCAATCCGCCGACTTTCGGGCTTGGGACAAGGGCTGGCCACCGGTCGCGCCGAGCGCGATTGTTCCGGGCATGAAGCAGACCAAGTGGTCCATTCTGGGTGACAGGTCCTGGTCTAGTCCCTGGGGTCGCTCGCCAATAATCATCAGCTGAGAGTTCTTGGTGAATGAGACTAGGTGTTTGCGGATGCCTCTCAACGCCTCGTCCCACATCTCTTTGTAGACGGGCTCCTGTTGGGAGGTCTGCAGATATTGCTTGATGAGATATTCTGGAGCGAGTCAGCCTAAAAGAACCAAAGAACCACGAAGCGCCGAGTATCATCAACATACCATAGTAAGAATCTGCTTTGTTGCCCAGAGTAATGCTGTCTCCTTTGAATGCACCATTGTCAGGATGGATGGCACTTCGGACAAGGCCATCCTGCGGCTTTTGTTGGTCAACTATCTTCATCGTTTTCTCAACCACCTTCCAATATTCTGCCTCGCCGGTCAGCTTGGCCAGGTACTTGAATTCAAGCTGTAGCGAGCCAGCCTCAGAAATAGACGTAGCTCCCTCGTCGAAATGCACGACAACGCCTTCTGACGAGTTGAGATTGACATTTGACCATGGAATACCGCTTGGAGACTCGAAAGCCCCGAGTAACCGCTCAGCGAGGTCAGCTGCCTTCTCGATGTACAGATCTTCACCGTCAGCACCGACATCATCGTCGCTGAGGGGTGCCAGGTCGGGATATTGGGTTGACAGATAGTGTGCAGACAGTAAACCACCCAGCATGCGGATAGTTGTCTCGAACGTATTAACATCACGGTTCTGATTATAATTCAACGACGTTGAGATCCATTGCCGCGCGCGGTGGACCTTGGAAGTCAAATTCATGATCATCAATGTGTCCAGCGAATCAACTATCATCCAGCCTAGTCCGCCGCTCGCGTCTTCTTGGTTAACGTTCGATACTGGGCGATATTGATCGCATCCTGAATAAGGGTGTTAGCGCTGTCAAGTACAAATCTGCTGTATGACCTACCCCATGCGTTCTTTTCATATCCTTCCCAACTGACGATGAAGGCGTCCCGCACTTTCTCTCGTCTCGCTGTCCAGTCAGACAAGTCCCCAGATTTCCCGTATTCCAATGTCTGGGCCCATTGCCATAATTCTACCCCTTTATCATTTGAATGTAGCCCCGACCACGTGGGGAGGTAGAATTTATACCATAACAAAAACAACACTGTACACACCCCCAGCACGTTTAGGAACGGTC